AATCACTTCGGTCAATTTTTGGGTCAGGTCAAAGGTCAGGTCACCAGAGGTCATTGAAGGCAAATTTTCGCCGATTTCCAGGTCGAATGTCGAAAATTTCCAAGAAGCCAACGCATAACTCGGGAACCAATAGAGCTACAGCGCCGCGGAAAAGCGCATTCGATAGCCCTATTAACGCCCTTTCTGAGTAATTTTCTCAGATTTGACCTAACGTCAACGGTTTTGCCTGCAGGGGGCAAAAACTGCAAAAATAGCCGATTTTTTCGGAAACAGTTTTTCTGCAATAACTTTTGACCCAAGCATTGTACGAGCTTACTTTTACCGGCATCGTGTTCCTCTCGTCAAGACGCATCGAACGAACTATAATTTGACCTTGAAAGGTCAACTTGAAAATTTGACCTCAGGTCAAGGTCATGACCTGACCGGAAAGGGTCATGTTGCATATCAGTCGATCCGTATCGTCGAGCTGAACACATCTAAGACGTTTTCATCGCTCTAGCATGCCTCTATCAAAAGTTATTTGCGAAAAACTGTTAGATACCATTCGTGACCTAAGATGACCTCAGGGCATAAACAGGGGTCACAGACACCATTTTCATGTTCAGTGTGTCTAAACCACTTGTAATTCAGTGTTTGGGAGTGTTTATAATGTCTTTCGTCCAAAACAGGCGCATTTCAATTTTCTCCCATTGACTTATAATGGTGAGGTCGCAAAATTGACCTGACCTTAGGTCATCGATATCAAAATTCTGAGATATACATTTTGTACATGCTAATGCTCTTAGCAATCGCTGAAAGTTTCAAAGCGATCGGTCACTCGGTGTAGCTATGACAGACATTGAAACTTTTTATGAGGTGAGGTCACTTCGAGTGACCTGGTGACCTGACCTTGAATGACCTTGGTCTGAAATTTTCACAACATGTGTAGAATTGATGTATGATAAGGTGTACCAAAAACGGCGGCGCTCCGCGCCGCCGTTTTTGAGATATTCGCGAAAAACCACAGGGGGGGGTGTTCAAACACCCCCCCCAGCAGGGCGCGGGTTAACCTTAAACTTTACACTTTTTCGCATATCTTGCACACTAATTTCCAAAATGTTTTGAAATATTATGTAGATAATAGGCATATTAATATTATTGACATATATGTTTATGTCCTCTATTTGTGGTTCATGTTACGATGAAAGGCTGCTCCAAGATCAAGGTCGGACAAGGGTGTCAAGAGTGCCGGAGCTAGCCAGAGTAAAACTAGATACGGCCCAGACTGATTTCGCTGGGGCTGAAGGTACTGCAAGTTTCGTGTTGATACGTCAAGCAGTTTAGAAGATTTTGCAGAAAAAGGGAGGAAGGCTCTGTATAGTCGGCTACAGAATGATGTTCCACTTTTCACAGGCAATTACATATTTGCCTGGAGTGGTAGGCTGTGCCGCATCACACGGGCTGAGTTCACAAATTATAGCTTTGTCCCAACGCTCACAATCGACACGCTTAATTGCGTGATAAACGGCACAACTTAGCGCTCCGGTCAAATGATAGCTTCTGAGGAGTGGAATATCATTCTGTAGTCGACTATACAGCCACCCCCCCCCCCTAGTCATGCGTGGGTTAACATCGCTATTATCCTTTTTTTCTTTAACCCGCGCCCTGATGGGGGGGGGGGGCATTTTGACCCCCCCCCCCCTGTGGTTTTTCTTAAATAGCGAGACGCCAAATTTTGGGTACCTTACCGGGCATCAATTTGACACCTTCACACAAAATTGCAAGTCACAGGTCACCTCAGGTCAGGAGTTATTGAGGTCAAACTGAGGTCATGTTCGAGTAAAAATGAGCAAAAAACATGACATCTTGAAACGCTCACCAATTCTACAGTTAACAAGCAATTTTAAAGTTCTTTTTGTGGTTGTGTAGAAAAAAGACGGCGCTACAAAACTGCTATCTCGGATTTTCGAAATTTTGGAATTTTGACCCTCAAAAATAAAAAAAAAGATTTTTGTTCAAAAAATTTCCAATTTTTTTTTGAATTTCGCAAAAAAACCGGAATATATGTGATAGTCCCTACGCTCTTCGATATACATACCAAATTTTAGATCGATACCTCTTTTTTTGGCCAAGTTATAGCGAAAAAACTGTTAAAAATTGATGACGTCAAATTTTTGAACTCAATTTTTAGCAATTCTAGACCTCGTAGCGCAAAACGGAGACCACCATTGAACTCCCCGTGATGAGCTGCATCGAATCGATACCCATTTTATGCAAACATATCAACTTTGAAATTTGACCTAATTTGACCTGACCTTGACCTGACCTTGACCAAAACGTGACCTAAGCTGGTCCAAAAGTCTGCCTGACCCACATAGTCGCATTTGTCATGTAAAATGGACCATAAAACATGTATCACACGACACTTTCATATTGTGACCCCCCAGTGACCTGACCTCTGTGACCTGACCCGGTATCAGTGACCTCAAATAGCAAAATATGTGTTTGAAGAACATTTCCCCATCGATGATTTTCAATGAAATGCATTTTACTCGATTTTACAACGCATTTCTTGAAATGCCTGTAAACGGTGAAAATTCGACCTTTGACCTGACCTGTGACGTCATCGGTTTGACCGAGGTCAATGAAATTGGGTCACAAGGTAGTTCCCCGTTAGGGCTATCCAACGCTGTTTACCGCTTGTCGCTATGTTGCGTGGTTCTCGAGATCTTAGGGGGGGGGCAAAATGCCCCCCCCCCCCATCAGACCGCGTTGCTCGGCAGACCCCATCAGGGCGCGGGTTAACCCACGAGCGGCTGGGGGGGGCATAAAGTTGCCCCCCCTTTACGTTTGGTGGAATATCTCCGAAACGGGATAAGATACGAAGCTGAAACTTGGCATAGCTTCAAATGAATACCTAGGCCATATTTGAGGAAAGTTTGGTGGTTGTAGCACTTAAGATGACGTCACAGTGACGTCATAAAGTTTTGTCGTTTTCCAATACGGAGCGTTTCCGATGTCGCTGAGCATGAAACGCGGCGGTAAATGAAGTAAACAGCACCTGTTGTCATTCTGAAACATCTAAATACACTGTTAACTATATCCTGACCAGTTATCGGTCCTATATTCTCGGTCTCATATGTCGGATATATATATCGTGAGGAAACTAAGAGACGCCAATCTACGATTGGACTTCTGACGTCACTGTGACGTCATTTCAAATGGGATCGACACTAAATTTGGACACAACCTCGGCTAGGTATTCAGGAATATGTGTGCAAAGTTTCGCTTTTCTATCTTTTCGCGTTGCGACGATATCGTCGGCGAAGTAAAGGGGGGGCAACTATATGCCCCCCCCCCCCAGCGGCTGGCGGGTGGCGCGGAGGCCCAGCGGCCGCCGGGTTAAAATGTGGAAAGCTTTTGGTATTTACATTTTGTAGGCTGAGAAATAGGGCGCAGGTTCCAGGGTCGTGGGGCTATAGAGTCAGTACATTTTCAGGGAATGGTATAATTGATTATTTTGTAAATACTAATAGCTTCGGAGATAAATGAGCTGTGCTACTGCTTTCTGAAAGTGTCATCTCGCTGCGCGAGGTTTGCAGACACTGAGAGACGACGGAGAATTGCATAATGCATACCCATCTGACATTTTTGAACCATGCACATCACACGGCTACGCTGATGTAGTCATAGGACGACGGTGGCCTGAACTTATATGGAAATGCGATTGGGATTGTGACTATATAGCACATTGTGACTATCAAATACCTAAGCAGTAAGCCATCGCGCTCATATAATTGATTTTCGACTGAATGAGGGAGAGCATAAAAAGGCATAGCTTCCGCGTCTGTCTACACTCTGACATGTCACATGTGACAGAAGTGTACCACTGCCTGATCAGAGTCGGCAGTGGGCGCCCGATCGGGCGGCGGTCTTCCAGGCGAATCACTGCGAGTGGCGCCCAGTTGCGGCTCAGCGCCGATGGGTGGCTTCGCTAACAAGCTCAAAGGCTTAGTGTGCCACGGAAGCCCCAGCCGAGCAGGCGGCAGACGGAGGCGGCGGCCGGCAGAGGCGCTCCGGCGTCGGCAGTCACGGGTCGCACCTAAAGACGCAGGCCCCTCGGGTCAGTGAGAGCGGCTCAGACCGCCCAACTCCGTCGGTCACCAAAGGGGAGAGGAGAGACCTGACGGACTGCTGCGAGCACCCGGTGACTGCTGCTCGCCACCTGTCTCCGTGTCCAGGGCACCTGCTGTAGGTGAGGAACACACACAAACGTATCTGCTTGCATAATCCTACATACGTGCACATTGAAATCGTCGACGCCTTTGAGTTTGTGTGCTGTGTAACAAGGTCTAACCGAAAGAGTGCTCGAGCCTCGGTGGATACTGCAAGATGGTCCAAAACGATCTTTATTTCCCACCCGCACAACAATATTTCACCGCCCTCCCGAAGAACAGTGAAAGTTGGACGACGAAGGATTCCTCCGACGCGTATGGTGGGCAGCCCTTTGCGCTACGCTCCGTAGAGTTGTAGCGCTGAGGCCTTTACGACATGAGGATGTTTAGCTTATCTTTCCTGGTCCAGTTTTACTCTGAAGGATTACGTAGAAATAGAAACGTTGCCACTTTCGGCCACGATTAGTAGCGAGTGCCAGCATATTCCCTGATTATCGGTGGAATTGCTCTTTTGTGGTGTCAAATAAGTAAACGGCTTTTTCTACTGTCGCTGCAGAACTTCACTCCGCCAGCTGTATTTGTGCGCGCTATTGCCTTAACAATTGATCTTGACCAGATTTTGACCACAAAAAGCATACCCATATCTTTCACTGTCGTCGTGTATACCTTACACTGTATGAAGTTTATTTATGTTTTGTTCTTTGGATGCATTTGGATGTTTTGGTCATTGGAAGCACATCATTGACGCGTTTGCTTAAAAATTGGGATTAAATGCGGAGAGGGATTCAACATGTCTGGCGATGCGTCAGGCCAGTACTGAGCGTCTGCGTACTGTTGTTCCAGCGACCCGTCTCGGCCTGCGCCTGTGACCGGACGGCAGCCCCACCAGCCGCCATGTCTACTGTCGGGTGCTACCTGCGCGTGGAAGAGCTGGCCCAGCCCGATGGACTGTATCAGCTGGGCGAGCGCATCGCCGAGGGCACCTACGGAGAAATCTTCACCGCCACCGAGAACAGCTCAGGTGCTGTGGCCGCCACTGTTTAATTATTATGTGGGATCAATAACAATTATTGCGATTCATCGGGGCAATCAATATGCCTATCGTCGGTTAAAATGTTGTCATTGTATGCATTTATTAATTATTTGCGGTACATAGATAGGCATTGTGCGTTTGCGAAGCATCTTTTATCGCTAGATATTGCTCAGTTCTGTGGATAAAAGATCTAATTATTTTAATTTTTATATCTATTTCAGGTACCAAGGTGGCCATCAAGATAGTGGACAACACGGAGGAGACTTTCCCTGACATTGAGGAGGAGTACCGAATTCTGAAGGACCTCTCAGTTCACCAGAACATTCCCAAACTGCACGGCATTTTCAAAAAGACCTCAAGCAGCGGCGTCGAACAGATATGGATGGTCATGGAGGTGAGAGCAGCTAGGTCGTAACTCGTAAGAATATCATGCATAAAAGGCTCATCACTATCGCCCAGTGTTAAAAAAGCATGACAAATATGCATATAAATATGTATCGACTATCGGAACAGTAAATGTCGGCATTCAAAGCATCTAAACCAGGATTAAAAGAAATATATATGATTACATTGGGCATTGGTGCTACTCATACATCGCACTATAATCCTATACTGTTAGGAATAATGTCGCTTCATTTGCCGGTTTCCGCTGTGACATCGGTCACCGGTGCTTGCGTTCCAGTACTGCTCGGGCGGGTCAGTCACGGACCTAGTGAAGCGTCTGAAGGAGAGCGGACACGTCATGAAGGAGGACCACATCGCCTTCATTCTCCACCACACCGTCCAGGTCAGAGCAGCGGTGACCAATGCGCACGTCAAAAGAAACGTGTGTCCTTACGATTCATGTTTGAACTGCGCTTATCACGCGTCTGCACCAATAATCACGTAAAACAAAAGAAAAGTGCCTTTATGTAGCGGCTTAATACCAACATATAATGTGTATAACTTCTATTTGAACATAATCGATTTAATAACAATGTACAGTAGGTCTATTAAAAAAGTCCCCAGCACCAGTGGGCGCTGTCTCCGCTGAGCCGAACCCCCGTATGCCTGTCCAATATCGCGCCGGGCTCAGGTCAGGTAGGGTCAGCGGGACCGCTCGGTCCGACCCGCGGGCGGTGGACGGGCGGCCGGTAACGCTTTCCGCCAGCCAGCTGTAGAATCCAACAAACGGGACGGCCACCGCTCAGCGCAGCGAAACCAGTGTTTAAGAATGGCAGTAGATGTTCATGGCCACAATGATTATGAGATACTCATTGTTAGCCCGTGCCCCACAGGAATGCCTAGACTCTCACGCCCTGTTGGAGGGGAAATGGGGATTGAGCATCATTCTTATAACTCAGCTTTGGACATTTAAGTCAAGTGGCATTCGAAGTAGCGTCAAAAGTAGCAAAAAGAAGAAGAAAAATACTTCAGCCAATTTTAGATCGGGTTAGAGCCAGAGGTCATGGCACCAGAGGTCATCGGTGGTAAAATTTTGCTTGGACAGGGTGCGTTGCGCGCACCGGTGCATTGGGTTTCCAATTTCCATGGAAACATCAACAGACTCGGAAGCTCGCAACGCTAGCGTGGAGCCGAATTCATATCAACCGCCGCAACAATGCAGCAGCGCAGCGCAGCGTGCTACAACGCGGGGCCGTGAAACACCGCCCAGGGCTATCCATGTGTTAGGGCAATCCAACCCACGTGATGGGCTCGGCCCCAGCGGAGCATGAGGTCCAGGACTCCCGCCCAGGCCCCCTGTCTCCCCCTAATTCCTGTCATTCTTCCCACTCTGAAATCGACCGAGCCTAACCTAACACAAGAATCAGCTCGTTTACCGCTATGTCTGAATAATATTGTCAGATTTAATTAAGGTGAACGGCTTAGCACGTAAATAACAGCAACTGCCACCATCGGTAGGGTAGGGTGGGGTAATTTGAACATGTGGGGCAATTTGAACATAGTGTGAATAACAGAAAATTACGGAAAATCCATAAGTGGCATGACAATAAGACCAATGTGAGAAATTATCGTAACTAAAAGGGCTATCATATGAACGGGGTTTAAAGTTTCAGGGAATGAAGATGTTGACGCACAGTGTAAAAAATCAATTTCGCAAGGAACAACGCCGAACAACACGTCATTGCAACTTCATTGCAGCGCAAAATCTTGCATTGCTAGCGCCTAATACGCAACGGCTTTTGTTGTATAATGACCTAATCAGTGCCTTCAATCCAAGAAATTTGCTTTTGAACCCTGTTTTTTAAAATGGCAAAATAACTTTTAGCGTGGGGTAATTTGAACATAGTGTGAGAATTTGAATGAAGACAGGGATAGCTCCGAAAAAACAACGCTCCCAGTTTTTTTGCCAATATTTTCGACCCAAGGCAGTAGCAGATAAGTGATGCCAGTTTTAGAAAATTCACGTCTAATATCCGTCTTATGTCCGGCATTGTTGTTGATTTTCCGTCCAAAAATGTTAAAGTCAACTATTTGTCCAAGTATGTCCGAAAATTATGCAGCTATCAACACTTAAAACCGTCATTTATATTGCTTATCATGTAATTTTACCAGCCGAAAAGAGTTCATTATATTGAGAGCTTAACAAGCTTTCCATTCGCCAATCAATGCTATGCACGATTACTTTAAAAAAGCGCTGAAGTGTAGCAAGCCATCGTCCAATATTGTCCAGTCTGCTACCTTTGTCCAACCAATTCCGAATTGGACATTGGACAAAATCAGAACTCCAAATGTCCAGGTTTCGATTGGCACCACTTTAACAGATGTAGTACGGTTGGGAGAGTTTTTATCGAACAAAAATGATAGACGTTCTGTTAATTGAAGAGGGGCGAATTCTGTCAACTGACCGGTGTGCAGCGTGCAGATATTGATACTCTGGAACTGTTACTTTTGCTGTTAGGTTGATTTTTCAAGTGAAGGTATGTTTAGAATTGTTCTGCCTATTTGTTTATGGGTCAAACAACATCGGTGCTGGCGAGACTATCGTTTTTATGACCGGTTAAAGGCAGTATGTTCAAATTACCCCACGGTGGGGCAATTTGAACACACCGTGACTTGGTGGAGAAGTGAGGCTATGCTATTCAAGGTATGCTCGGCTCGTCCAAAAATGAGGCTTGCATGGTGAAAGCAAGTGACACTTGCGCTACTGAAGCAGTTTTTCTTCATCCAGGGTTGAACTGGAATTTGGTACAACGGAGAAGACGTAAAAATATGTTCAAATTACCCCACACTACCCTATTATGAGAAAACCAATTGCTTTTCCACAAACACTTAAAAGTTTTTAGCTTAAAACTTGCTTGAAATTAACCCGCGCCCCGCTGGGCTATTCAGCCATACGCGCCCTGCTGGGGGGGGGGGCAGATTTTGCCCCCCCCCCCCTGTCTAACTTCCGAACCGATGGTCGTAGAAAGACGGGGAAAACGGCAATCGAAAGCTCTCAACAAGGCGGATCCTAAGAGCCCAATTATTTTTGCTTAAGTAGGTCAGAGGTCAGGTCAAGGTCAGGTCAAGGGTACAAAATGCAAGTTTCTACAGTATCGGCCTTGCACCGTAGTTGCCGAAGAATGGACTGAGACTGATTGCCCAAAACGTGTTCTTAGACTACCAAGACAATATTCGTTGCATACAATGTCATTCAAAGGTCAAGGTCAAGGTCAGGTCAGGTCAGGTCAGGTCACCAAAAACAAAATATAGAAAAGGGCATGTGCGACACATGTTTTATGGGTCATTTTACTCATAGAATTCAATAGGCACACTCAATAAGTGATATGGACCACCTCTGGATGAATTTCAGGTCGAGGTCAGGTCAAGGTCAGGTCAAGTGAGGTCAAATTTTGAAGTTGGTTGTTAAGGCCTAAAAAGGTGTCTATCTGATGCAGTTTTCACGGCGAATCGAATGGTGCTATTTTTGTTTCCGTGCGAGGTTTAGAACTTCTAAAAAATCATTTTTCAAAATTTTTGTGTGTCGTGACGTCATAAAATTTTGAATAACTCCCACATTTTTGAACCGATTCTTCTAAAAATTGGTATTTAGGTGCACTTAGATCACTTCTCTGACATATATTCCGTTTTTTTTCGATACACTCAAAAAATAGGATTTTATAATTATTTTCCCAAAAAAGTCAGTTTTTTGAAAAAAAAAATTTGAGCCAAAATCCAAAATTTTCAAAAACCGAGATAGCCATTTGATAGACAAAGTAGAATCACGTATAACCTTTTTTGTTACGTCTTGATTCCTTTAAAAGTGAAGATGTTAGCGGCGTTTGAAATTTTGCCGTTTTTGAGGCGAAAATGGCGCACATGACGTCACTAAAACGTCGATTTCTCGAAAATTTTCCGACGGATTTCGCTCAAATTTTCAGGGAACATGTCAAATCGATGTATGATAAGGTACTGAAAGTTTGACGTCGCTGGCGTAACGCGTTTAGAAGTTATTGGCGAAAAACGGGAGGGAGGGCAGATTCTGCCCCCCCCCCCCCCAGCGGGGCGCGGGTTAATTTTACCAGCCTCGTGTTCCTCTTATCAAAACGCTTCGAATGAATCAAAAGTTGATTTTTAAAGTTCATTTGAAAAATTTGGCCTCTGTTCAAAGACATGACCTGCCCAGAAATGGTCATGATGCATAGCAGGATATTAGATCCGTATCGTGGAACTTTACAAACACTTCAGATGATTTCATAACTTAAGCATGTCTATCAAAAATAATTATTACATGGCTCATATGTAAGCTGGGTGTGTGATCATGCTTACGAGTATGTTGAAAGCCACTGATAATGTTCTGTTGGCCACAATTTCTATATTTAATTTATCCTCCCGGATTTCATATTTTTATTCATGACACCTTGACGATGTCGAGAAAAAAAAAACGCTTAGGAGATTTAACAGCCTGAGATACATTCAGTATGAGGAAGGGTCAAGGGTGCTAGATTCCTTCCGTCCTCGCTATCCTCAGGAAAAAACAATCCGCATCGCCCCTAGTCTTCATGCTTCCCTCTCTGGACTGGAGGTCACCCCACCAGCCAACCTGTAGTTGATGTCGGATCCATTCCAGGACACATAATCCTCTTCGGGTGACCGTTTGGGAGACGGCTGAACCGTCCCGACAGGGCAATCGTCCCACGGGAACAGTCTCGCTTCCGCAGATCACTGTCGCTGGCTCGCACAACCCAATTATTTACTACACCAGAGCATAGTTATGTCACAGTTCAATTTTCTCCCATTGATTTGAGCGATCTCAAAATTGACCCGGCCTTTCTGTCAACAATGTCAAACTTGCAAAGTAAACGTTTCAAATGCCCCTTGCCCATTGAAATCGCTGAAAGTTCTAAAGCGATCGGTTAGTCGGTGTATTTAGATATGATGAGCACAGGAACTTTCCTTGAGGTAAGGTCACTTGACGTGACATGGTGTTATGACCTTGAATTGAAAGACTTGGGCGGGAAAAATGGGTCATTTGAAATCTTAAAATGCTAGATTTTAACAATAATTGCAAACACTATCCCGGCCAAATAGTGAGTGAGAAGGGAGCGATTCCCCATCCCCATGTTTAGCTCCTATAATTGAGCTAATTGCTAGAGCCTCGCGGAAAAAAACGAGCGCTTGCGTCGTTACGTGACGCAGCGACTGTCACCCCATTTTAAAATATCAGTGACCTCTTAGGGCAGGTCAAGGGTCCCAAGGCATTCGATCGGTTTTTGGTAAATAACTTCGCAAAAATGGTCGCATTACGAGTATCGTCATTTCGATACAATCGTGTTTTCTGTTCTCAGACGCGTCGATTTATATGTTTTTTTGTTTAGGTGAAGCAATTTAGGATGTTTACCTGAGGTCAATGTCATGTTAGGGCAACACAGGTCACGAAGCTGTTGAAAGGAGGACAGGTTGCATAACATTTGATTCGGCAAGTCTTGCAAAGTCCATTGATGGCTGTCCCGACTGGCTAGCTCATTTTGATCGGGAGTTATTGACGAAGCACTCCTATCACCCTAGTGACGTCATAAATGACGTCACGCAAGGTCAACAATGCAAAAGTGAAGCATAAGACCTTGCCAAGAATGTATGAAGTCACGATTTGAAGTGCTTGAGGCATAATTTTAGATCATTTCCGACGCCAAATTAACAGTTTCCATATTTCCCCATTATGCTTATATGACACTAAGTGCATTGCGGATTTGCATCATTTTATAACCGACAACCGTGCAGAAACTTACTTAAAGGGACCCTCCCACCTTCAAAAAAGTTAATGAATTGGCATGAAAGTGATGTCGCTCGGTTCAGAAAGAGCAAAAACGAATATCTACCAAATTTCATCGAAAAATATTCACCGGTTTTCAAGATATTAGACTTTTACTTTTGTTTACTTTTTGGGATCTCCGCTGTTCCTAGCGACTTTATTTGAAAGTGCGGCATTTGTTGCGCGCAAAGCGGCATATACCACCGCGTGCTACAAAACGTTTTAGTCAAACATTTAACGGACGTTCGAAAGCCTGATGACGTCATCAGATTCCCGTAATGGTTAAGAGATAGGGACCACGCTGGTCCCACCCTGCAAGTAAAGGGAAGAAATTTCTTGAACACCATAAAGCTGCGGGGGTTGCGACCAGGATAAATGGTGGTTTCTGAGCCTGGCCGCAAACTTGGCTATCTCAACTCAAAACTAATGTTAAGGTGGGAGGGTCCCTTTAAGACGCCATGGTTAAGTGGCCTGACCTGAAAACGTGGTTGATGTCAAATGATCCGGCTTGAATCAAATGCAAGACGTATGAAATGTCAGCCTTCTATCATCATGGTGTGTCAAAAGTGGAAATAGCCGGTGCGCCGTCTGGCAACCCGGCAGCCCGCCGCCATAGGGAAGTCCATGCTTTTTGTCGCTTTTTCGCTCCTTATGAGTCACTTGATCTAATTAGAGCTTAACTAGGAACGAGGCGGGTCACTTGGACGTATTCGGGAGCCGAATACGGTGTTTTGGAGCCAATACCTGGGAAACCCTACCCGCCCAATGCGGGTTTTTAAGAGTCTGCATGCCCAAATTAACGTTGAGCGCGGCCGTTTTCGGTCGGTTTTCCGCGACCTTGTGGCGAAATCGCCTTATTTATTCAACCAGGGTGGGGTAATTCGCTTAACTAGGAATGAGGCGTTGAAGAGAATTATTCAAGGAATAGAGCTGTGCAAAAATATTTTTTGTATTGTTAAAACTGTATCCGCCCTCGAACGATAAATATTGATGAACCATCAGAAACACATCTCCTGGAATGCGTTTGGACTTGGCTGGATCTAATATTAGCGAGTATCTGCTAATGCAGTTTCTTGGCTTACACAGTACGCACACAAGCATGCATACTTCATGCCTTTGGTTATTCCTCACTTGAATGAAAATTTTGCTATAATAACTATTCCAAGCAGTTAACAGGTTTTAGTGCAGTGCCAAGTCGGAACCGTTCAGCGCCGCCAGTCTCCCAGGCGGCGCGTAGCGGCCGCCGCCGGCCGCCGCGCCGCCGCTCTGGCAGGGTGTTTGACTTCATATCTCTGTTGCTAGAAAAGTTGTGGACCGATTTACTTGATTCTTGCATGAAAAGATCCGCCATTCAATTCTTAGCAGATAACGAAAATTTGACGTCAATTGCACGATCCGCTGCCCATATTGTGGTACTGCCATCTATTGACAAGGCTAGCGAACTAAAGCCAGGCGGCTATTTCCACATTTGACACACCATGTCAGTGTGCTTTGAGCTACCGCAAAAAAAAATACATGGTAATGATGCTGCGAACAGATAATGATGCGACCGAAAACAAAGCATTTATCTGTGTCTAGAACGGCCGCTGACTTGTTGGACAAGATCCCCAATTTGCTAGATGGGAATAAAATACTCGGTATGTGATACATATATACCCCTCGATTTGCCCTCGCGCTAAGTCTATTTTAATCATCACTGTCGCTTTTTTATCCGAGATGATGTCGCCGCTAAACGGGTTGTTTTGTTTGCTTGCGTTGAATGGTCATTACGGATTATTGAAGGATTATGATAAAATAGGAATGGGGCGAGGGAGGATATGCACTGCGTCTGCAAGTGTTTAATTTAGATCACAAAGGCATCATTTTCGGCATAGTGCAGAGTCACCATCTGCCCCTCTCTGCACTGCGGCATCTCTGCGCCCCACACACGGCGTCCTCACTCCACGGCCGGCCGCCGCCAACTGACCCACTCGCCGGGCGCCGCGACCTGACCCGTGTCGCTGCCGCGGCCTGCGCAATAGAGTCGGGGCTGGAATCCGGGGGTTCGGCCGGCCGGCCGCCTGTGGAGCGGGGGACTTTTTTAGTAGACCTACTGTACCTGTCCCGTATAAAACAACGGTAAATTAATTCCCCGCCCTCTGCAACGTAAAATAAAATTCACGCTAAGCCCTGTCGAGATGACACCAGGCCAAGCACCAGAATAAGTACCATGGCATGCTGTCAGTCAAAATGTGAACGGGTGACCGGCGTCTCTACGTCCTCAGGCCGCCTGCCACTTGCATCGGAACCACGTGATCCACCGCGACATCAAGGGGCAGAACATCCTGATGGCCCAGAACGGCGAGATCAAGCTCGTCGACTTCGGTGGGTGACGACTTTATAATGTTGATGTTACAACTCACACAGCTTTAATTTCAAAATTTAGCCTGAACCAAAATATTTTAGTGCCCCATGAACGACTAGGATATTTCGCTAACACCATGAACATTGAACAGAGAGCATTTGTATGCGCTGTAACTAATAATCTGCGTCTTATAGTTGAATTAGAAAGTCGTTAGTGTATTAATCGTTTCATTTATTTTCTTCGTGGGGTCTTATATGTCCCAATAACGCCCACCGTTCTTCTCCGGATCGTGAAGTCCCGCAAACCCTTCCCAATATTTACCAGTTCCCAGGTAGCTAGGCTATCACGTTTTGTTTTCCTGGAGTACCGCTATGACGTTCTTGGGCTCGAGCGAGATAATAATTGCATTAACATTCTCGATTACTTAAGTGCCAGCCGCCAGATCGGGTACCCTATAAGTCATAGTGGGGATATATATGTAATTGGCGACTATGTGCGCACACGTGTATTTACATTATATAATCGTTTCCCCTTACATACAACACGGCCGCCAGTTGGTTGCTGCCAAAATAAAACCTAGCCCGTATCATTCCCCGATTTTGCCTCAAGTCTATGATATGGTAGGTAAGCCACAATCCCTGGCATGGCAGCATATCATGTGCTTCCTACCACCGGTACGCACATTATTTCCTGATGTACGATTCCATTACCTACGCTAATTGTCTGGGATGCCCGTTCGTCCCTGACCTCCGTGTCGCCCTCCGGACAGGCATATCGCGTCACCTGCCGTCCACGATGGCTCGTCGGGGCACCTCGATCGGCACGCCCTACTGGATGGCACCGGAGGTGATCCTATGCGACCAGCAGCATGGCGCCGAGTACGACATCCGCGCTGACGTCTGGTCGCTCGGTACGGCACCAAACATTGGCCTCGAGCGACGCTAAACGACACGGACCGCGCGGCAGTCCAGCTGCGTTATAATTGGTTGAAACTGAGATATGACTTGAGTGTCATGATTAATGGTTGAAACTCTTCTGGTTTTGATGAAAGAAAGCGCTGTTTTAAGGCTCATGATTATATATATAAATGCAATGAAAACCCTAAGCCTCATGCTAATAATTGTATTCAAAATAGGGCAAAATAGACCTGACGATGTGTTATGCACGAAACAGTTGTCTCATTTTCTTGGCCCTATTTTGAATACAATTATTAGCATGAGGCTTAGGGTTTTCATTGCATTTATATATATCTTCTGGTTTTGTCAGATGGATGGTACTATTGGTCTAAAGATAAGGGCCCATGCCACCTGTAGTTCGGATGCGGTAGTACCCTCACCCTCGCCGCAACTCGAGTGGGGGTGGCGCTGGCTGGGAGGAGGGGTGCACTCGGCCCGACCTGTGGCGAGGGTAAGGGTGTTCGCCGCATCAAAACTACAGGTCACCTGGGCCCTTATCTTGAGACCAAGTAGTACATACATCAGGTGATCTATAAGAAGCCAGTTCGTTGTAATACGTTGTAAATCGTTGTAATACAGGGATCACTGCCATCGAGCTGGGTGACGGCGTGCCGCCGCTGGCCAGCGTGCACCCCGTGCGAGCCATGTTCCAGATCACCCGTAACCCGCCTCCCACGCTGGCAAAGCCCACCGAATGGAGCCAGGCCTACCTGGACTTCATCGCGGAGTAAGTCAGCGGCGCCGCCATAGTCTGACCGCATGGGGAATAGGCGCCGCGCAGCGCCAGCCAGTCAGGTTGAACTAAAAAGGCAATCTGGATACCTAAACGCACAATATGAATGACTAAATGGTGCTTGATATGTCGCTCTGGTTCGAGAGTGATATTATCGATTTCTGGTGAACGCTTACGTTACTCAGAAATACTCGGACGGGAGACTTAACTGGTGGATGACTTTATTTTACAAAAAGGTGGGAACAATTTACTACGAAGTCGCATCTCTGAGTTATATCTAAGCTGATACAAAACTACACCGTCGCTGTAATCACGTCTGGCCCGGCCCTCTGGCAGGTGTCTGGAGAAGAACGACGAGAGTCGTCCTCTGATGGAGGAGGTGGCCACCCACCCGTTCCTGACGAGGCTCGAGCCGCGACTGGCCGCTATCAGGGACGAGCTGGCCCAGCTACTGGCCGACAGCGGGCCGGCAGAGACCGTCCAGCCGGCCCAGGTCACCTCCAAGGCTGGCTACCTGAGGGTAAGTCAGTGTGGGAGACATTGCTCGAACCCAGTATGTTCAATGTCCTCAGCCGGCACAGGTCACTTCCCGAGTCGACTACTTGAGAATTAGTTTAGGGTATCGATAGCCCCTCCCTAGTATGTGTCCCATGAGGGAATGACTATACGTGTCGCATTCTCCTCAGTGTCTGTCGACTATCTGTGGGTGGTCCAGGTCAGTTCCAAAGCCGGTTACCTGCGCGACATTAACGGCTGACATCGGTGAACAAAGTGTTATACCGCACAAGATCTATGATCTATAAGATCTACCTCTTAGTCACCTTCGGTACTTCTCGTATCATAACTTTTTTCTTATATACGGGTTGGCCCAGGCCTGAAAAGTCCTACACTGGGTCATCACAAAGATGAGCCAAGTTATCCACTAAAGTGCCCTGACCTCGTCCCACCGTCTCTCCAGACGCGACCGCACTCCAAGTCCCTGGAGATCCTGCAGGACGACCTCGCGGCCCTGGAGGACGTCACCGACGACACCATCCTGAACCTGCTGGAGAAGCGCTTCCACCGCGACATGATCTACACCTTCGTTGCCGACGTGCTGATCGCTGTCAACCCGTACTGCGTGAAGCCGCTCTATGATGCCAAGGTGAGCAAAGAGACTGGCGAATAAACCCAGCGAGCGGACGAGGAGCCAGACTTGTTAAATCGCAGGAAGATTTAGCAGCATGCTGGTTAGGCGACAGAGATCAGCTAGGCCCGTTCTGAACGAGTGAGCAGGAGTTAGAAACACGCCGAAAGAGTTACGCTTGGCTGGAAGCTAGACGATGGGTCTTGTCGTTCCTAACCTAGCTTAACTAAAGAGGCCAGTATCACAAAGGTTGCTGTGCCCTTTCTACGCATCAGCACTTATTCGATCAAGCCCAGTGCCCCGATATTGGTGAAGTCTGGTCACACCAGTGCAACCCATCTGTCTGCCGCCGTTATTGTAGCTGACAGCTATTTCGGCTGTGTCCCGTATTCTCCCCTCAGACACACGCGGCCTACTGTTCTCGTGCTCGCTCGGACAACGCGCCGCACGTGTACGCCGTGGCGGACCGGGCGCACCAGGACATGGCGCACCATCAGCGTGCCCAGACCATCGTCTTCACCGGCGAGACCGGCTCCGGGAAGACGTTCAACGCCCGCATGGCACTGGCGCACCTCTGCCACCTCGGAAAGGTAGGTCAGCCGGTGCTCGGCATGTGACGGTCGAAAAGTGTCATGTAGTCGTATAGTGTCGACGACAGCGCGGACTCGCACACCGTTAAAGAATCAATACTTCATATCTTGCCGAAGGGCGTAATGCCAGTAAATATTTCCGCTGTTCTGTGCCTCCCGTACCCCACGATGACACACCCACCCACCACCTCCTTGGCCTCTATTCCGATCTGGACAGAGTAAGTCCCTGGCGGAGAAGGTGCTGGGCGCCGGGTTCGTCCTGGAGCTGCTGGGTAGCGCGGCCACTAGCCAGAACGCGGCCTCCACGCGACAGGTGCGCTACTTCGAGACCACGTTCACGAAGACGGGCCGGCTGAGCGGCGTAATCGTGTGGAACTACATGCTGGAGCGCTGGAGGGTCACCGATACCCGACCGTGAGTGAAGCTGCTGGAGGTTACTCGGTCGGCAGGTCTGGGTCGACCTGGGGAATGTTGAAGGACCTCTGGGAATAGCGTGGCCTCTTGGAACTGGGGATTTCGATCAAAGAAGGCATAATGCAGTTGGCAACGTGCAATTCGCACCACATCTGTCATATTGATCCTGTGGTTTAGCAAAATAATTTTGAACTTTAACTACGCAAGTTTCATATAGGACCTGTGCGAAACTGAGAGCCACCAATATCTATGCGGCAGGAACGACGGTACTTTCAACGCGTTATACGCCTACTACTACGGGCTTCAGCAGAGCGGAAAGCTAGGAATTTACAAGCTGCAAAAGAAAGATGTAAGTATCAGCTAGCCAGAGATAGGGGGATGCCACATAAAAACATTGAACTCCATACCACATACCATATATTTCATATCGCAAGTTCGACGGTATATTGTGCCCTGCAATCAAAATGCAACGAATGCAAAAGAAAGACAACTCAAATATCACGCCAACGGAATATCTTCATGTGCATTGTGTCCCGTTCCGCAGGACTACCGGTTCCTGCCGAAGCACAAGTTCCTCGACCCGGTGGACAGCGCGGAGAAGTTCAAGGAGGCTGAGCGGACCATGGACCTGCTGGAGATCTCAGGTGACAAGCAGGAGACGGTGCGGAAGGCGATGGCGGCCATCATACTGCTGGGCGAGGTCGATTTCGAGGACGGCGACGAGGGCGTCACGATCGTCAACAAGGATGTCCTGAATACAGGTCAGACACTACAGGTAGCATGGATACCTTCCTTCAACATGTCATTGTGCACGATATTTTTCACTTATGAAACATGATGCCGTGGCTGTTCTCTGTCGCTGCTAATGTCTAATTTACCAACCAGTAGCAGCCATCATCTTTTCACGCCCCTCCGTTTTCCTATTCATCCAGGATGTTTGTACTGATGACCACAACCTCCCTAAAACATCCAGTACCTATCGTTCTCAGTGGTATGTGCCCTGTGCTGTCACCTATGCCCCTGGTTTCCCCAATTCATTCAGTGTCGCTAAACGCTGCTCGCTGAGCCTCTAGGCTCCCAATCTCGTGTCTCACCACTGAGCCCCTGACCTCCCCGCCCCAGTGTCGTACCTGCTGTCGGTGGACGAGGCCAAGCTGGTCTGGTCGCTGGAGCACCGCTGTCGGATCGTCGCCGGAGAGGCCGTCAAGGAGGCCAAGACAGTAGAGCAGGCGCGCGCCTCGCGGGACGCGCTGGCCCGCCTGCTGTACGGCCGGCTGGTGGACAGTGTCGTCAACTGGGTCAACGCCTCCTTCACCCTCACCAGGCTGCTGTTGTGAGTTATCCCCACCCTAAAAATGTCAGCAGTCGAAGCTCGATATCTATCGTGACACCTTCTTCATGACGCTTAAGAAGGATAAATGCCTTCATTCATTCATAAATGCACCAACACTTAATAAACACAAACGAAACTCCCCTTCAATTGCCAAATACTTCACCTCTTGATTTACACTCTTATCTGATGCATAGATAAGAGAAAAAAAATGTGATTATAAATATTTAAAATAAGAAACAGCGGGAAAGGAGGTGATGACAATGAAACTCGTCTCCATTTTTGCAGCGGCGAAACCAACACGGTCGGCCTGCTGGACATGTACGGGTTCGAGAGCCGCAGCACTAACTACCTGGAACAGCTGGTCGTCAACGCCTTCAACGAGCAAGTGCAGTCGTTCTACAACCAGTCCGTCTTTCAGTGGGAAATGGTCAGTAATTATGTCAGGGACTGGGTGCAGCATGTCACATGCAGCGTCGTGCATGATGGACAATTTTTGGAGCTTTTTCGCTTGGGATCCTTGTCTAAGAAATATTTGTCTTATCTGCAGATGATTTTCTTTGACGACAACATCAACACCAGATCGTTCACCGTAAATCACCATCAGACGCGGATGTTCATATTTCACACTGACAAGATGGTAAATCAGCAAAAAAGCGAGCATTCTTATCCACCACACCATTCCAATCGTCTGCAGGACGACTTCCGTGGCGACGACCTGGAGGTGTCTCCCTACACGTACATGGACAACAGCGCCACCATCGACATGCTGATGAAGAAGGGGGAGGGCCTGCTGGCGCTGCTGGACGAGAGCACCCTGTCGGAGAAGGCCTCCGACCAGTACTTCGTCGGTGAGCTGGGGCTCAGTGGTCGGAGGGAGAGAGTTAGTACACTTCGGGCCACCGAAGCGGGTGGTGTGACAGCTATACGAACTGAATTGCCAGTTTTCATTGTGATCGGAGGACTTTACGATGATTCCTGTGATTTCAGAGAACTGCAAGGAGACCATAGAAAGCCGCCATTTCTTCCCCGAAAAGGATGGATTCGCCATCGCTCACTACGCTGGAAAGGTGTCCTACTCCAATAAGGACATCGTCGCCAAAAACAAGGCAAGTCATGGATCGCACTCACACCAAACACTAAACCACCGGAAAAGTGTAACCACTTTGGCCCTGATATTGTCATCAAAGTCTTTGAACTTGAATCGATCCTAAAAGGACCATTTACATTCCGAATGATATCAGCCTCAATTTTGACCTGAAACACATATGCGCACATGATATGGAAAGAAAGCAAAGATGGACTAGGCTTCGTCGACGAATGGGGACAGACCATCTGGGCCTAGGATAGGATACCTTTCACGAGTTCCAACTACGACCTACGTGATAGGACCAAGAACCAACTGGACCAAGACAAGGTTGATATTACTGCTCAGGAACCCGTCTCTGTGGCACGACCACATACGCCTTTAGGTGGTCCGCCATTCAACTGACTCGCCTCGGTCTGTGACAGGACCACCTGTACTCGGGGTTGGCTCATCCTACCCCTGACGCCTCCTCTCTCTCTCTGTGACAGGACTACCTGGACCCGGAGGTGTTTGACACGCTGCGTCAGTCAGAGAACCCGTTCATCGCGCCCATGTTCCTGCTGCCGCTGACCAAGACGGGTAACCTGACCATGGACCGGGAGCAGGCGCAGCGCGAGGCGGGCGGCAAGGCGCGCCCCGTCAAACTCAACGACGACGTCGGCAACAAGGTCGGTCGCAAAGGACACGTGTCAAGGACATGTAGCGTCACCAGAGTGGGTCGGCCAGCAAGCTTAAAAGTGTGTCCTCTATCCTGCAGACACGTTAACCATACCAAGGACACTTAGACCCACTGAAAATCCCGTAGCCTGAGCTCCGGCCCGGACAGGCGGTAGTAGACCAGGCTCGCGACTAAAGCGCACGGTTGAACAATTACAGGTCTGGAATCCAGTAGCGGCGGAGCACCTGCAATTAAGGGGGGGGGGGGGCACTGACGACTTTTGGTCCCATTCTTTCCATGCAACGCCCATAGGGCTAATGTTAAAATGCCAAAATCAAAGGGGGGCCGGGGCACGGTGCCCCGGTGCCCTCCCCATTCCGCCGCCTATGCTGGAATCTGTACCCCCTGGTCTGTACAAAGTTGAGCCGCACAGTCTGATGACGCACCCTGAGCGGCTGCTCTCATTGTCATACCCCCGCTGGCGTGTCACCTGATGGTAATGCTGTGCACCTCCTCCCTTATCTTCCACTGACGAGCCCCCTGCCGTTCCGTTCCCGCTGTCGCCCGGCAGCGGTTCGACACGCGCTCGCGGGGCCGGCTGTCGCAGACCAGTCTGGTACTGCTGACGCAGGCCTCGTGCTACCGCTACAGCGCCATGGAGGTGATGCACAAACTCATCAACAGCACGGCCCATTTTGTGCGCTGCGTGCGCTCCAACAGCGAGGGCGCCGCAGACACCTGGGACACCGGTGAGCTGGGGTCCGTGGGATACGGGTGAGGTGGGGTCCGTGGGGTACCGGTGAGCTGGGGTCCTGAGACACTTCTATGACCCGGAGCACGGGTGAACTGGGCAAGGGGAGGACATGAAAAACGGGGGAGCGGGAAGCGAGGGCAAGTCGCAGTTCGCCGTCCGATGAGTATTTGTCCTCCCTCGTTTTCGGACTTCAGATATGGCTCTGGATAGATATGTGATGCCCTTAAAAGCATGAACTTATTCTTTTTTCTAAAGAAAACCAATACGATCATGGCTGTTTTCTTCCCGAGCCATTATAGAGATCGCATCCATCAAACATCTTCAAACATAACGGCAGCTAGTGAGATGTTCCATCGCCTTTCTTTCAGGCCTGGTCGCACATCAGCTGAAGTGCATGCAGATTGCCAACACCATCGCCATCAGGAAGGACGGCTACTCCCAGAGGATCGACTTTGCCGAGTTCTTACGAAGGTGAGGATCGCGGATGGTTTGATTTCTGAACTGGCGACAACGGACCAAAGCGCCTTTAACTATCATGTTACCGAGATAATAGCTAGCTAGCTGACGTTGTATCACGTGTCGCGCTGAGCTTCCTTTGAGACATTTGTCGTCTGCCTTTAGAAATATCCTTTTCACCCGCGGATATTTTTTTCTTGGTCACCAGGTATCAGTTCCTGGCGTTTGACTTTGACGAGACCGTTGAGGTGACGCGCGAGAACTGTCGACTGCTGATGGTGCGTCTCAAGCTGGACGGCTACCGCATGGGAAGGCAGAAGATCTTCCTCAAGTACTTCAACGAGGAGTACATGAGCAGGTCAGTTTTACACAAAACACATGCACAGTAAACAAGAGGGAAAATGAATGGTCGAAGTTTCCCGCAATGTCCAAACATGCTTCAACTACGCTGAAAAGAACGTTGGATATCCGTAAAGGCTGCGTCACACCCTCACTCCCCTTCTTAACCAGCCGTAAAGTGAACACTGAACCCTTCGCCTCACCCACACTCCTTCATCCACCATAGGCTGTACTCATCCTCACTCCTTCCCTCCGCCTCAGATAGCACCCCTACCCACCATTCAACCATCAACTCTCTTCTCTACCACAGGATGCACACAACCACCACCCTTCTTTTCTTCCTCCACCGCATGCTGTACTCACTAGTCACTATACCTCTTTTTCTCCACCGCAGACTGTACTCGCTATTCACCCCTCTTTTCCTCCACCGCAGGCTGTACGAGCACGAGGTGAAGAAGATCGCCAAGGTGCAGGCAATGATCCGCTCGTTCCTGGTGCGCCGGCGGCGCCGGGCCGGCCAGCCTCTGGACGTGACGCGCCTTCTGGCCAGTGAGTGTCACCGTCGGCCGCGCCTCTCCGTCACGCCCGAGATGCTCATCATGCCCGAGATCGACCCGCCCGACGAGTTCGAACTCGAGGACTAGAGCGTCGGGTCGGGAGGAACTCGAGGACTAGAGCGTCGGGTCGGGAGAAACTCGAGGACTAGAGTGTCGAGTCGGGAGAAACTCGAGGACTAGAGTGTCGCGTCGGGACATACCGGAGGACGGGGTACCAAAGCGGGACACACCCGAGGACTAGAGTATCGGGGTCGGGACAAACTCGAGGACTAGGGTGACGGTCGGAAATAACTCGGAGACTAGAGTATCGAGTCAGGACATGAAAGATGGAGCCGGGTCACCGGGCCGGGGCTTAACTACTGGAGAACGGGGTACCAAAAATGGAACACACGACAGGGCAAAATAGGGGTTAATTTGAAGACTGGGATACCAAAAAGGAACACACATCAGGGTTAAAAAGGGACTAAATGGATAACTTCTTAAGAACGGAGGCACCGAATAGGGACAAAGATACCGATAAGGGACATAACTACTGCAGGATTGGTGCACTAAATATGAACAAAATGGAGGATTAGCATTTCCACGAAAATATTGAATAGAACAAACATGACAATACTTAAACCGATAATTGATCCAAATTCGACATAATTAGTGTTTTTTTTTTTTTACCTGGAGATGGGAGATCCACGTTGTAAATTGAAGAAAAGTCAGACGGGACTTGGCTTTTTTACGATGATGGTTAATGAGATTAAAGTCGGTAACGAAAGTAGAACCAGACGATGACGATAGTCAGTAATATGTGGAATGATGATATCAAATAGATCTCAGGATAGGCTCTTTCACAATCCACACGAATCAAACATCGTACCGATCAGTGTACCCCTAAGTGGGCTTAGCTATACGCATGAAACGCGACCCGCTGGTAGTTCAATGTCGCGTAGCATCGTCCATCGACAATGTGCATTATGCATTATTATGCTTTGAGTAGACCAAGGATGGCGTAAGGACTTTTAATCGCCCACCGTTAAACATTGATTGTTCACCATATCAGGATGCTTTAAAAAGGCGATCTTAGATTATCTGTTAGTACGCAAAAAGGCGAAGTCCTCACTGCTATCACATATTATTATTAAGAAAGGTAATAAGCTAGATAGAACATGTCAAGTGTTGTGTCACCCGTGTGTTCCCTGTATTTAGCATGCTTGTAGAGAGTCTACATCAACCGCTGCATAGTAAATGAGCTTAAATTATGTTCGGAGGGACTTATGTCTTATATCTGGGCGAGATATGTGCGTTAGTTATCATGTTATTCGCTATCGCAGTGCAAGTAGAGGTGTCCGCTTAAACCATCGATCATTTGCCTTATGCCTATGCATCTCAGAGAGCACCAGTCGCTTGTACGCTTGATGAATGGATTGATATTGCAGTTTACGTGGTCGCCCTAAGACCTCTGATAGAATGCTGAGAACACTTGTAAGCGCTCAGTGGAAAGGGCAACACCTTCTGCGCATTCGTTGTAAATGCGAGGGAAAGCAAAACAGTTGGTTTGAGTGACCTTTTCGTAAAATGCTACGTTCCGTAATAACACTGAGGCTTTCCTGTCAGTCCACGAATGCTCAACGGGGCCGGCTGTGCCGCAGTATATATGGGGGAGACCTGCGGCACAGTGGGCAAATTCCAGGCCGGTTAGTTTCAGCCCCATACCGACGAAACGCTACCACAAATCTAGCCGTAACACAGGCGTAAGGTCATTGTCAATATGCAAACATGCTAAAAATGCATCATCTTACCAGCTACCTATTTGCATTCTCTCGCATAAATACGTTTTCGGTAAATGTATAATAACCTTGTATGATGTAAGTGTATAAGATGAGATTCAGAGACAGTAGTATGATGCTTACGTGTCCAAATACACATACAAGCCAATGGCTCATCGTAGCACTTTGCAAAGTTCGTCTTATCGCGTCAGAGCCCAACAGTCCCGATGACGTCATTGTCGTCGATCAGCTGATTGAATCTGAACAAACAAGTAAACAAGATCAGTAAAATAATAGAAATAAGTAAATCAGTAATATCATCAGCAAATAAGTTGCTGATGATAGCGAAAAAGATACCACACGGAAAATATCGCATTTAATTACTCACCAAATGCATCAATGAGGGATGGTTGGCTAAGATGATTGCAAAAGTGAAATAATTTTCAAGCCTTAACTGTTATTTTAATCGTGCGAATAAAACAAGCGTCATGTAAGCCAAACGAATCGCGTAAAATAACAATAAGCTCGAAGCTATTGAAAAACAAAATAAAACTACCTAGAAACGGACGTTGGAATAGAACGTCAGTGAAATGCAACTACGGAAAGTTGATGCATTTTTAACATGTTTGCTTAACAATGCTTATCACGACATGATAAGAGCATGTCTGCCCAAAATCTTACATTAACAATATTAAAGTGTTGCCGTTTTTATAAATCGAAACTCAGATATGATTGAAGTACGAAAAAAACTTCACAGTGGCGGGTGGCTCATCAAGCTAAGCTGATATCTAAATTCACGCAATTCATTGCCTTGCAGGCAATCGGATAAAGTCCGTCTCAAATGACATTTTCTGAATCTCAATAAAAAACGAAGGCAATGTTTCAATGCAACCGATGTCGCGTCAAATAATTGTTTTACATAATGTGAACATCCCCAAAATTTGCCACGACTCATATAATCACAAGCATAGCGGCTGATCATTAACCCTCGCCGGCCGAGGGGGGGGGGGGGGCGGGGCGGGTGCCCCCCCATAGGTTTTTTCACGATAGCTCCGAACACGCTGGCGATAGAGAGCTGAAACTTGGCATACCTGACCTTTGATGCAAGCCGGATCTTTTGACACCAACCGCATTTTTGAGTCAGGTCAGGTCACTGACCTATGACGTCATAAGTGAACCTCTGCACGGTCTTCAGATGTCGCAACTTCGCAACGCCCTCACTGCCAGAGGAGATGTCACAGGGAAATGAAACTTGCAGGATCTAGTATCCATTATGAGTCTCACAACTTGTATATCTCGGATTTTTCCCAAAGGTCATATGAGGTCAGGTCATTTTCGTGACCTCACCATTATAAGTCAATGGGGAAAAATGAAAACTGCTATTCTGGCGCCAGGAACGATCTCCAACTATCTCAAGCACACAGAATCGTGATTTGATGCACTCCTTGCAAGGTCAGATGCGTCACTTTTGCAATGTTGACCTTCCGTGACGTCATTTATGACGTCATCAAGGTCATATTAGTTTTTCGTCAATAACTCTTGATCAAATTGAGCTAGCGAGTCGGGAAAGCCACCAATGGACTCAGGAAGACCTGCTGAATCGAATGATATGCGCATGACCTCTTTCGACCAACTTCGTGACCTGGGGGTGCTGACCTGACCTTGACCTGAGGTCAACACCCCAAGTTGACCTGACCCGGACAAAAAGTATATCATTCGACGCGCCTGAGCGAGGCGAACACGATGCTGCAAAATCGCGGCTCTGCGGCCGTTTTTGCGAAGTTATTCACCAAAAACTGAACCGTACCTTGGGGCACTTGACCTGACCTCAGAGGTCACCGGTTGACCTAGGACCTTAAAATCGGGTACCAATCTCTGCGTCTCGTAACGGCGCACACGCTCGTTTTTTTTCCGCGACGCGCTAGCTCCACCAGGGGCGAAACGGCGAGGGGGGGGGGTCGTACCCGCCCCCCCCCCCCCTCGGCCGGTGCGTATGTAGAAAACCAATAGGTCCGGCGAGGGTTAATATCGACCATTTAAATAACTACTCGTCGGCAGGTCGAGCGTTTTTCTGACAGCTTCATTATTCAACGAAGTCCAGAGCTTAGGCTGAAAGTCCGGGCCAGCCTACAATTTACACCCCTACCTATAATTTCGCACAAATTGTGCATTTCACTTACAGCCCTTTTACATGCCTCAACAAATGAGAGCTCCATGAATAGCCAGTTGTATGTTGCAAACAAGACACAACAAACCTGTCGTGGTTGTGTATTTTGAATTTACTGCGAGCCTCTCCCGACAAAGGAAAATAATACCTAACCTTTCGACTGTTCAACCGGAAAGTGAGCTCCCGTGCGCAGGTCGTTTATCTACAAATCAATCACGTAAACAAAGCTATTGGCCAGAAGGCGTTAGTGGTAGGACTCCTGCAATTCACCCGTCTCGACCCGTTCGTCGCATCGCTTCATCTGTAACCACAGATGGCGACAGGAAGTTCCAGCGCCGGCCGTCGGGCGGCGCCACTGGCGACCGCTACCGCAGGAGGTCCTCGGCGGCGCCTCATCTACAACGACTCAACGAGGCTGGGGAACCACGTGAGTACCGGTCTGTGCAGTACGCGGCAGGGCATGAAACTTCCGCCAGATGCCAACTTTATTTTGGCCCCCTTTGAAGTGCGCCGATTCACTGCAAGAAGCTAGGCAAATCCATGAAAGAAATAAAATGCGAGTAGAAAGTTCAACTAGAACTTGAATTACAGAATGAAAGCACCTGTGCTCTGACGTCGGTTTAATTTATCGTCAACTGTGCTCTTCACTTCTGTGATCGCCATCTCTCTGGATCGGGGGAGTTTTCCTGCACTGATGCAGCCCGGCGACACTAACGGACCCAGCTGGGGTAAAAGGGAGGAAACGACGGCCACAGTCCGGCCAACAGTCACAGGGCAGCACTTGCTCTGCCTTAGGCATAATGCTAAGGGTCAGGTCAAATGAGGGTCATTGCCTCTTGGCTTCCTCTGTGGCCATCAGTGCCCGTAGAAGGACCTCTCCAATGCAGGTGACTTGCTAAGCTGCTGGACAGAGCCACAGCGCGTGTTGTCGCGGAGTCTGAATCCCGTGTGTCGACAGGCACGCTGGCAGCGGGGACGATCCAGCGGTACTTCCGTCGCTGGCGCGGACGGACTCTGTTCCAGCAGCTACAGCGGTACCGGGCCGCCAAACACCACGACCTCGTCGTCTTCTCCCATCAGGTCAGTGGGAAAGCGATGGCCAGGGATCAGTTTTTACGGCACATAAGAATGCATCGCTTGTCAATCGTCATATCGTTACCAATTATTCCTCACCCTGCAACAGTCGCACAGACTGTCTCATCCTACTTAGCCTCCTTCTCAGCTAGGATAAGTCCCAGCAGCCATACCTGGGGCCATACTCCGGCTCCCACCGTAGCAGCTAGCTCTCTCCTCTCCTACCCTCTGGTGGGATAGTCGCTCTCCGTTTTGTACCGTGAGACAGACAGCCTGACTTGGCGTCCACTCACTCGCCACCCTTCCCCAGGTGCACATATACGGCCAGGAGTGTTTTCAATACCTGAACCGTAACCGGGAGGCGGTACCCCTGGCCTCCGTGGCCGCCGTGGACCGTGAGACCGCCAAAACGACCACCAGCGCCAGGATGAAGATGATGGGCGCCGTGAGGAAGATACCGCTCAGTCGCAGTCTGGACGACTTTACGGACACAGCCCATATGTGCAGCCCGCACCAGCCGACGCCGGACAGAGGGTGAGGGATACTCACACTCAGCCCACAGTGAGCTAAGCTGAGTCATTATCTCACTGGTGACAGGTTCAGCCCACACCGGTCGGCGGCCAACGGACGCTGAGTGAAAATTCAATGTCAACCGACGGACAGTGCTTAGACCCGGCAGCAATGACTGTCAACAATCGAAATGCTCACAGCATCAAAGAGAGGTTTGGCAAAATATCAAATGACAGAAGCCGCCAGACATACATATACTGGCGTTGACGCTCTCTGTCCGTGTTGCAGCCGCAGCCGGACGCCGGAGCCCGAGTCCTCGCCCCAGCCGTGTCCCAACTGTCGAGCCGGTATGGCGGGCGGGGCAGTCAGGGCTGCGTCGCCCTCCCCCTCCGCCGGTCGAGCGTCGGGCGGGGCCGGTAGAGGTCCCTCGCCCTCCCCGTCTGCTGGCCACGGGGCCGGCAGAGCTCCCTCGCCCTCCCCTTCCGCCGGCCGGGCTGCGGGCCAGGGTCTCCGCCAGGACCTGGGGGCTCGCTCTGGTGCCGTGTCGCCACAGTTTGAGTTCGAGATGCCCTCCTGCTCGACGGCCACCGTCTCTGAGACCAGGGCTGTGTTCGACCGGCGACCGGGTGAGTTGTAAGACACAGCCGAGTGTCTTGATGCAACTGGAACCTCTCAGGTAGACTCGTGCCTCACAAATAATGCCAATTTCAAAATAGCGGTAACCCAAAACTAAGCCAAATACTACACAAAAACATTGAGCAATGCCATCAACTGAACCGATTTGGAATAGCTATAAGAAAACTCTTTCATACCAAGCAGCTTCGTCGAGCTTAAAAGGAAAATATAATAAAACCAACAAACAACCGACAATATTAACCTTCGAATATAAAATGATCGGTATCGCTTTAGTAATTGCATTAATTATTAACATTGCTATTCCACCGACCTTGCTGACCCAACGTGACCCCCCTCCACAGGGAGTCCCCGCTCGGGGACACCGGTGCGTTCTGCCCCGTGCACGCCCTCAGAACCGCCGCCTGCACCGAGTTACGCAGCGCCCGGCCCGGCGCCCGTGCAACCACCGCCGCCGGTACCCACCTACAACCGGTTCGCAGGCAGCAGCCGCAGCAGCAGCGCGGCGCAGCGGCCCCCCTCGGTGGCGGCCCCGCCCTCAGCCGGCAACACCGTGTGGGGAAAACGGTGAGCCTAATGATGGAGCGAGTAGTCCATAGGAATTGTGGTTGGGGCGGAGGACGAGGTGTTTTCAACCACGAAGAGCTCATATACGAGTCCTGGACCCCGAACTGGAGCAAGTTGACACATTGGTTGAGAAAAAGAGTACATAAATGAGTAAAACGCAAGTTAGAGTGAGTCTATGTTACTGTAACGGTCACTTAGGTACTCATGGTAAGGCAACGACCAACTGCTCACTCATGAACCAATAGACAGTGATGTGCCGTTTCTTCAACCGGCGTTCACCACTCGGCAAACATCACTTTGAACAGCAGTAGTCAGGTGGCAGACTCGAGCGACCTCCTAATCCAGCGGAGAGTAGATAAAAGAAACAGCCCTCGAAAGACCGATGCCCCGTTGTCGACAACTCAGAGTGGAAACAGCGACCTCTACTCTAGTCAACGATGATGAGTCAACGGCACACACTACAAGTAGGGACAGCAGGCCATAGATGGCAGCAGCAATAAGCGCCTGAATTTATGCTGTGCCGCCGAGCAGCTAGTGTTAAGTTTGCACCGCCGCGCCGCTTGGCAGTTTTTGCCACGCCCCATGACTGACTAGCGACCTGGACAACAGAATTATGTATCAGCTAACCTCTGATGTTAGCCGGAGCTTATGGCGAAAGTGTCGTTATCATGTCAGCCCAGGTAACTGACCTAGAAGACACGCATGGCATCCGTGCGTGAACATTTACAATGCAAACATTAGTTATTTCCAATCCCTGAATAAAGTGCCAGGACATATGTTAATAAGGAGGACGTTAAATTCATAATGACCTGTGTACTTTTTCACACAGTTTAAAGGTACAATTTGAAGCAACCATCTTTTCTTATAGGCCCCAGAGACTAGCATTTCCTGTGTTGCAATGAACTATTGACGATAATTACACTTGACTCTTCTAGCATAAAAATACACCACATGTGCTTCGCTTTAAAGCTGAGAACAACAATAATAGTTTGACACCGACCGTTTGACCCGCCCCCGTGGCCTATTTGTCGGCAGTTTGGCGACCACATCATCGGCACCGGCCCCATTCATGCAGGAGATGCAGAACAGAGGAGCCAGGCAGGAAGACGAGGACGCGCCACCCTTCAACTTCCAGGTCAGCTGACACATCGACAGTTCCGGGCAAGAACATCCTTAGTGTCAAATTTTTCGAAATTGAGATTTTTATACCATTCGACTCAGCTGGACGAGCTGAGTCGAATGGCATGAACATCTCAATTTCAAAAAATTTGACACTAAGGATGTTCTTGCTCGGAAGATGCCGGGAATCAATGACGTCACATTATTGGGCAGCACACGTTTGCCAAAAGGAGCAAATTGTTGAAACTACACAGCAGACTACTAGGCTCGCTTACCTAAATCAGCATCTGCCTGCTCTCAATTGCCGGGGTAGGAGCTCAAGTAACTAGACAAAATCATAGAGCATAATGAAGTTAACCCTCGCCGGCCGAGGGGGGGCGGGTGCCGCCCCCCCCCCCCCCATAGGGTTTTTTTTTCGCGATAGCTCCGAACACGCTGGCGATAGAGAGCTGAAACTTGGCATACCTGACCTTTGATCCAAGCCGCATCTTTTGACACCAACCGCATTTTTGGGTCAGGTCAGGTCACTGACCTATGACGTCATAAGTGAACCTCTGCACGGTCTTCAGATGTCGCAACTTCGCAACGCCCTCACTGCCAGAGGAGATGTCACAGAGAAATGAAACTTGCAGGATCTAGTATCCATTATGAGTCTCACAACTTGTATATCTCGGATTTTTCCTAAAGGTCATATGAGGTCAGGTCATTTTCGTGACCTCACCATTATAAGTCAATGGGGAAAAATGAAAACTGCTATTCTGGCGCCGGGAACGATCTCCAACTATCTCAAGCACACAGAATCGTGATTTGATGCACTCCTTGCAAGGTTAGATGCGTCACTTTTGCAATGTTGACCTTCCGTGACGTCATGTATGACGTCATCAAGGTCATATTAGTTTTTCGTCAATAACTCCCGATCAAATTGAGCTAGCGAGTGGAGAAAGCCACCAATGGACTCAGGAAGACCTGCCAAATCGAATGATATGCGACATGACCTCTTTCGACCAACTTCGTGACCTGGGGGTGCTGACCTGACCTTGACCTGAGGTCAACACCCTAAGTTGACCTGACCCGAACAAAAAGTATATCATTCGACGCGCCTGAGCGAGGCGAACACGATGCTGCCAAAATCGCGGCTCTGCGGCCGTTTTTTGCGAAGTTATCCACCAAAAACTGAACCGTACCCTGGGGCACTTGACCTGACCTCAGAGGTCACCGGTTGACCTAGGACCTTAAAATCGGGTACCAATCTCTGCGTCTCGTAACGGCGCACACGATCGTTTTTTTCCGCGACGCGCTAGCTCCACCAGGGGCGAAATGGCGAGGGGGGGTCGTACCCGCCCCCCCCCCTCGGCCGGCGCGTATGTAGAAAACCAATAGGTCCGGCGAGGGTTAAAGATCTTCAATAAGAGCCACCGGATTAGCCGCCCATTCATGCTGACGGCCCGCTAACTACCCGCCGTCGATTTTGACTCTGCGACGTATTCGGCGCAGAGCATGCTGCGGAAGACAAATGTGAGGCGCAACTCCCTGCAGCGCGGCGGATCAAGTGACAGCGCCGGCCAGCAGAGCGGAGCGCTGCCATCGAACGTCACGATAGCGTCCTACGGCGACGGACAGGGGTAGGTTATAGCGGATCAAAACGCTGCCATGATTAGCAAAGGGACGTTGGAACAATATAATGCTTGCAAGTTAATCTAAATAATTAAATGCGCTTATAATTAATCAAGATTTGTAAAGCATATAACTTGCACGCTCCTTCGATCGCGCGAACTTTTGTCTCACTTTTTTAATGGATGAACAACATGTTTCACTTTCAGATAATCAAACCCATCGTCCAGCCTGAAGCAACACAAACATATCGGAGTTATAACGTAAAACTGACGGAGTTTTAAACATACACTGTAGAAGGCTTCATAGGCCAAAAACTCATTTCAAACACGCCGTAGCGGCGATCGTCTAATACATTGTCGTCTGTCACTCTCTGCAGTGCCAAGGAGCGGGACCGCGGTGCCACCGGGTCGGATCGCCCGCCGGCGCCCGCAGCAGCAGAGGCTGGGTCCAGCAGCCAGGACGCTGAAGGCGCCGCAGCCAGTGCCGCCGCAGCGGAGCCGCGGCCAAGCCGACAGGACAGTGAAGGCGTCGTGGCCAGTGCCGCCGCAGCGGAGCCGGGGCCCAGCCAGCAGGACACTGAAGGCGCCGTGGCCAGCGCCGCCGCAGCGGAGCCGGGACAACAGGACACTGAAGGCGCCGTGGCCAGTGCCGCCGAACAGCCGTCGGAGCCCGCCGAGAATGGAGCGGTCGGGTACGCCAGCCAGCCATGGCCGAGGATCATCTTCGAGGGGGAGGCGGTGGACCTCTGAGCGGAGGCGAGGGGCGAGAACGGCCGACTACGGACAGCGGGGCTACGGAGCGACTGGCTCGGTACAGCAGGATGAGGGGCTGAGTGCAGCGAATACACGGGCGTGGTTCACGTGCGAACTGAGAGAAACGGTTAAGTGACAGCAAAGTGGCATTCTGAGCGCTGTTTACTGGATGTGAGACCGAGCCTATGAATAACATCTCTATCCCAGAGACTGTGAATGCTGGCGGTCGTACTATGGGAAACACACGGAGTTTTCAGGAAATGAGTGAAGCACATACTGCCAGTACGCTATGTTAGCCAGAATACTTGTGTTACTCTGAACAAAGGTAGCTACGAATGATTGTGAAAGGATGCTTTGTTGCCCTAAATTCAGTACTTCATTTGAAAGCAATGTCTCATTTAGATAAAGTTCATTTCTTTTAATAGATATCTAAAATAATGACCTGTGCATTGTGCAACGCCTGCCATGCAAAAAAGTTATGTTTGTTTTGTGGGCCTGGTATTTTGTTTCTATGGTTGTCAAGATATTAAATGTTAATAGAACATATTTCAAATACTGATGTGGCCCAATCTTTACTACTATTTGAGGAGGGTGCGTCTGTCCGTTACCGAGGTCCCGACTTGGTCGTGCTTTGCGTGGACTACAGGCCAGACCGTTGCACCTAGCCCGGTGAAATTTGCACAACTTATAGATCAAGGATGCGCGACGTGCCTTTGAGGGGTCTCAGCTCGATCGGATTGATAGGGAGCGCGTGGCGCGTACTCAAAAAGTGCAAATTCGCGTCATAGACTTTACACGTATAAATCAGCGTGCGAAATCGGGCGAAAACAGCCAAATTTGCCCGACACGGGTCCGGTCCCGGTGCAATATCTTGGTGACCAGGGGTCCGACCAACACAGGGAAAACAGCATCGTGTAGATAATTGAACGGGCTATCGAATGGTGTGCGGTGCAGGGGATGGCACGCGCCACGTGCACCGGGGAGGACACTTTTATGTGGAAAATTGACGTTTTGGACGGATTTTGGAATTTATATTACTTTCAGGTGACCGCCAGACGGAGTGAGTTGAAACAACGCCTATTAGCAATAAAAATGTACCGCCTCTCATGGAAAAATTGTGAAAAGCTTATTGATCCAAATCAAGGTGGTACAAATCACGGAAGAAAATGGTGTTTGTCAATTTTGTGCCACTTAATTAATCACACGGGTTTTGCTCCATGATCTGATATCTCTGGCAATTAAAAATGGCACCGTTGGAAAGAGCATTCAATTTTGTCCGAGGTTCAGTCTTTATCTTTACATGATGAGCAACAGTATTCTAAAAAAATGTAAATGTTACAAACCATTACATTGTCATTTTTAGCGAAATTCATCGATGGCCCTCAAAAGGCTTCACGCCAGTTTTCGAATCATTCATAAAGTAGAACGCATGATAATACGACACGGGCACCTCGATGCGATGTATCTTTTTTGTTTTATTACAAAATGCTTGGCCGTCAAAAAGCAATCGAACGAAATGGATACCTACCAGGCTACCAGCCAAATCGACACAGACCAACCCAATACCCAAGGGTAAAAAAATAACCCTTCTTCGCGTTGCGGAGCACGCGGGTAACACTAGTAGGACCTATTTTTGAGTGATCAGTGCAAGTGTTCATGGTATGTAACACAATAAATATTCAAATGTTATCAAGGAACCCAAGAATGTACCTAAAATCAGCTAATATCAACTTCTTAAAAATGTACCCGTGTTCATAATAAGGGGGAGATACAGCGCAACTTGTTCGTACGATAACGAGAACGAGAAAAATAAAAAAGAATGAAGGAAAAGGGAAGAGAGAGAGAGAGAGAGAGAGAGAGAGAGAGAGAGAGAGAGAGAGAGAGAAAGGGAGAGAGGGAGAGAGAGAGAGACAGAGAGAGAGAGAGAGAGAGAGAGAGAGAGAGAGATAAAGACAGAGAGGAGAGAGAGAGAGAGAGAGAGTAAGAGAGAGAGAGGAGAGAGAGAGAGCCGAAGAGCGAGAAGTCGAAAGAATCTTTAAATAGTACGGCTTCACACATTGCAACTTAGCACGCACAACACATCGAGCTAACAGTAACCATGAGTAGCTCGACAGTAAGTGTGGAGTAACTTATGAGCAACATTTTTTCTAGGCTGCTAGTTACCTTTCGCACTCGCTATAGAGGGACAAGCCTTAGCAATTGCTCAATATGACTCTGAACAACGTGGAATTGACGATTAATCAATTTCTCAATTTATTTCTCAATAATCAATTTCTAACCCGTTGCAGTGCTGCATCAACAATCTTTTTTTTCTGATAAAATGTGCAAGTTTTCTTCTTATGCGACGAAAATAGCATTTCCTGGCTCCGTCAGTGCGAAGTAACTTACAATAAGAGAAACAAAATTTCTGCCCCTGTTATAACTAAAACCCTCGGGGTAAGAACATGCCCAGGCGAATAACAAACGTTTCGGTACCCACATTCGAGCGACAGTGACGTCAACTCGGTGGTCAGAAATTGTCCTGTGTGTTATCGGTTGCCTCATGCACCTTGTCCCATCATCCCATGCAATATTTATATAACCATCAAGATAGACGGTGCCCCACTGCAATATCATCGTGCAGGATAAAACCGGAATGCCGCAACACACGATTGTCGACAAATTTACAGTTGAAACGTTGAGCTTATGATTTCTTTGTAAAAATACTATCTTTATAATTATTTACACTAAAAGTGTCAAATAACAATTTCCTATGCTAAAATATTGGATTTCAAATTTACTTTTGGTATGCCATGAGCAAACAAAACCTATCTACACTCAGCGATATCCCTGAGGAGAAAACTACATCAGTGTCAGCTGATTCATTGGAAAACACAAGTCAAGGAACAGCCGGGACAAACAAGCCGAATAATGGCCTGAATTTGTCGCAGAACAGCAACGTTGAGTTTCCAAGTTTCAATAACATATTGTCATCAAGTCACTGCGATGTAGCATCAGTTAGCAAGTCTGCCACGCTCGTGGGCAGCCTCGAGACGCACCACCACCACCATAAGGTGGCTGCCCTATTCATCAGCGAAGAAGCTCCAACAGCGCCCCACAAGCCACACGCGGTCCAGAGATACCTCGAAATAACTCAAGATGATGAGACGCGAATATATAAGCATAACTCATCAGCAGAGGTCGCCGTTTCCAGTCCAAGGAGTAAAAACAAAGGCGTCCCCGAAAGTTCACCAGCGAACACGGTTAAGCAGGAGGCAAAGCGAGACCAAAGTAAGACCAAGGCAGAGAGGCAGTCCCGCATTCCAGTGGCTGTGCGAAGTTTGCCAGTGATCGCTAGATTGCGTCAAAGCATTGAGAAACAGACAGAAGGGACCAAAGAGCCAGAAAAAGACACTCCCAAAGTGAAAGAAAGTGATAAGACACCACAAGTTGCTGCCAAAGCTCCAAAGGCGGTCGAAAGGTGCCGATCACATCACATTATCGACCGACCCGAAAAGGACTTCATCCAGCTCAACAAACAGGGAGAGTTTCGCCGCGCCAAAACCTACCATCACTTGCATCTCGAGCGACGTCACAAGGAAAATGCACCGGACAGTGTGACTACTGCGCCCTCCAACTCCGAGGTTGGGGCAGCCGCAGAGACCGCAGCCACACCGTCAGACGCTCCCTGCACCGGCGAGCGGCAGACAGCGGGCAGCGCGGCTGGCCCCGCCGGTCCTATCCGCGACTCAGAGGTGTCAGGGCAGACCCCCGGTGCCAGGAGCTCGCCTCGCGTGTCAGAGCCGTGTTCCCCGCGTGCAGGCTCCGAGGGCAGTGGCGGCCGGCGCAGCAGTCGGATCCCGGTCCGCGCGGGGCCGTCCACTTCACCGCGCCGCCGCCACCAGAGCCACGAGTCTCCGAGGGACCGCGTGTCGCGCCACGAGAGCCACGTGTCACGCCATGAGAGCCACGTGTCACGCCGGGACTTCCACACGTTCGGCCGAGAGTTAGACGGGAGCCAGCTCGAGTTCCACGAGTCGCGCCTCAGCTACGGCAGCTCGGAGAGCGAGCTGCTGCTGGTGCCCAAGCTGCACCTGCAGACCTCGCAGCCGTCTCTCATCGACGTCAACGACAACAGGCGACTGGTGAGTGCGCGGACGAGGATAAATACTCATGAAAAATAGATCTACCAGAAAATGTTTTAGAAGTTTCAATATATCGTTGCCGGGTTTCCCTGGAATGCCTTTAGACCTCGAACTTATAAGGGATCGCATTTTTTACGAGTGGTTCGCCTAAAATGCGGTGGATACCGCCGGAACAGTCAGTAATCTTATACATTATCAGAAAATTTCATGACCCTGACTCCAATGACATTTGACCTGTTTCTCGAGACCATGTTAGGTCATAGCGGCGATTCGGCGTACGTACAGGGTCCGGCATAAGTTTCGTCCTCTCAAAAGATGTGCTCTTTAAGTTGCTATATATAAGAGGCAGTAATTCCTTTAAGCGTCGAGTTTACTCCCCCACGAACAGGGAGTTATACAAGAACACAATCTGACATGCTGGCAGCCAGGTTGTGCGGCACAGACGGCTTGATTTTCGACCATGCCCGTTTGAGCTGCAACGGTAGTGCCCTGAGGCTGGCCGCCGGCTTCTGTTTGTCCAGGTCCTGCTGGACGATAGCCCAAAATTCCTCAATCAGGATTAAATCAGGATGGTAGCCGGCTTACATCTCCTTCCTTCAGAAGTCCGGCATGTTCGATTCGCACCACCGCTGGGCCTTAACAGAGCGATGAGCCGGCGCACAGTCCTGAATGAAAATGCATGTCGACCTTCCATCGACCATGCGTCGGCTTAGAAGCGAGCCGCTGGTGGCTCTCGTAGGTACTGAGCCCCAGAGAGTTCTTCCAATAGCGTCTCACGGTCCTGTCTGAAGATGGAGCAGCCCTTGCGCGGAAGCCGCTTGACCAATTTGTCACCAACTGGCCCCTCTTCCTGACCGTCTTTTTTCAATAAAATTTCTTTCACGGTCGAAATGGTGAACGAACGCCCAAACTGGAACGATTAGCAACGCTGCTAACAGCCGCATGCTTGTCCATTGTGTACCTGCCCAAAACTGGGCAGGCAGATGTCCGAACTGATCAGCAATGGCATGCAATGTCAAAACGGTCTGAAGCATGCCGGCTATCTGGTTCAGCTCCCCAAGATAGAAAGTTCAGACCTTCATTTTTCGACGCGGCCGTTCGGGTGGACAATCTGTGCGGAACTGGCCTTAGCTCGGTGATCCGTGACCCGAGGTCCGTTCGCGACCTTATGTCCCGCGGCCAAAGACCGTGCAATGCAAGGATGCAGCCAGAACTGACAACTGTTATCCTTTAGGGGCAGAAGCCATTAGGGACCGGAGAGTGTTGTCATAGGAGAGGACCCTGTAAGTGCATATTAGCCGTTTTCACGACGGCCATCTGGTACACATTTGGTGCACATCTGGTACAGATTAGGTGCAGATCTGGTCAAATCAGGTTCAGTGTGTCTCTTAGCAGCTATCAGCTAGGGTTGCACTAATTGCTTATATGCCTGCTTTGTCATATTATCAGAGAGCATCATCGATTAAAACACTGAAATAAATTCATAAAATGAAGATATTTGCTGTAAAAGAAATTAGGTGCAGATTTGGTCAAATCAGGTGCATTCGCCGGATAGCCCGTCGTGAAAACGGCTATTATCTCAGCATTTTAGATTTTTTTGTGCTTAGAAACGTGCCGAGATGTGAAATGCTGTTTGACCCATGGGTTGTGCCGAAGGGTAATCCAATCCATCCATCAAGGTCACATGAGTGTCAGGTCAAGGTCAATAACCTTAGAAAACCTCTGTTGAAACTTACAGGATTCAGAAAGTAGTATGCTCATGAATCCTTACAACTAGAATATCTCAATTTTTCATATGGGTCATCTGAGGTCTGGTCGGTGCCGTTACCTCGCTATTACAAATCAATGAAACGAATGGAATCATGTAACCTCAGAATGAGATCATGCTGGAAACCGCCATTTAACGCCGACAATGACTTAACACAATGGCAAACATTTATTACCGTGAATTCATTACTGCTTACAAAAGGTTCGATTCATTGTGGACCTCACGTGACGTCATAAATGACGTTCCAAGATCGCTTGGGGCCATCATATTTTTTTTCCCAGTAATTCCAAATGTAATGCAGCTGGCAAGTCAAAAAGCTATCAATGGATTCATAAGCGTCATCCGAAAGATAAGCACAACATTGTTGCTAACACTGCGGCTCTGTGACCACTTTCTTGGCGAAGTTCTTACCAACAACGGTATCTCTACATTGGGGCCAGTTGTATACCTAACCTCGGATATTACCACTTGACCCGAGATCTTAAAATTGGGTAGGTACCAATCGTAGCGGCGCACACGCTTGCTTTTTCCGAAACTCTTGTTCAATTAGGGCCGAAACGGCAAGGGGTCGCACAGCCCCTTCGGTATGTGAAACGTTGTGCCGGGTCATGTTTAATGTGCATTACTCAACCCCCCTTGTCACCTAGCAGAGTGCTGTCTAGAAAATTCGTTTCCTCTTTTTCAGCTGTCAGAAGTGAGCGCACCCTCTCTCCTAGACCACCAGTTCCACAGACCCCGTCGCCGAAGCGACCTGATCATCCTCGACGACAACGTCTCGTCCTTGTCATTGCAGGTGCGAATTGCGAATGGCAGGGTGAAGGGTGACAGGTTCATTTCAACGGTCTGTGAAGGCAATGAAATGAGGCATCAAACTACGATACGTGCGCGAGAAGTGAGCCCAGTCTTGGAATCGATGATCAATTGCCAAAAGTTGACAGCATGCTGATACGAAAATGCACTGATCGTTATACGTTTTTAACATTTACAATGAATCACTGTATTGACTTTTTTGTGGTCTAGTAACTCAGACTCCACTAAAAATTGGAGTGTGGTTCCAATCTCCCCGTGAAAATGCTCCCTGAGCTGACCTGCCAGCTTACCTTGTTTACCGCCTATCCCACAGCTGGCCGGACCGCGGAAGGTGTACACGCCCCCGGACCGGGTACCGATGCCCCACCGGCACGTGCCGTACCAGCCCAACCTCAAACCGTACCCGCGACAGTACGTCAAACTGGGCAAACTCGGACCAGACCCGGCCGCCGTCAAAGCCAGGGTAAGGCGGCGAGAGAAAAGAGAGCCTATGTGAGAATGTTATATAGTGGGAACCGGAACGATAGGGCAGGACTCTGGCTGGAAAATTACCCGGAGAAATGTGATAAAAGGTCAGATAATCGGTGTTAAAAAGTAGGATGAAAGATGGACGGGTTCAGATGAGAGGGACCAGAGAGTAGGACGAAAACGCTGGGTATAATGTGAGTCGAAGCAAGCTTGTCAGAAGAAATGATGAAAAAAAATGTATTCGTTGCGTTTTAACAAACATAAGGAAATTCAGCATCGTACCATAAAAATGTTAAAATGTATATAATCAAAATGTTAGCCGTTGAATTTGAAGAATGAACACGCCTAGGATTTCTTAACATTTCTTTAAAGAACGGTTTTATCCAGTCACCTTAAGTGTTCTCACCTGTAATAAAATAAAGGTCATACATTGCGCGAATGCCCCCATGGATGCCACCGTTACAAACATGAGGCCTTTTGATGCTATTACCATGCAGTCCAGGGACACTTCCGTTCAATAGCAGAATGAGCAGTGTGGTATGTCTTACTTTCAGCGAGAGAAGATGCAAAAGCAGCAGGAGTATGCCGACCAAGTTGCCAAGAAGAATCGCACGGTGGTGAAGCCGAAATCACAACAGTATTCCAAGCAACAGGACGACCAGAAAAAGTCAGCACACGACAAGGTAGGGCATACCAGCTTTGCTGCTAAAGCATGTGAACTGAGATGTTCAGGTGTGTGCGTCATCATTGTTTTATATTGCCTTTGAAATGTCACAAAGCAGAAGTAGATTAGTGTGAAAATGATTTGCCTCGCTTCGATAACTAACTTTAGCGGAAACTTCCGTAACAACTTGCTTCGGTTAAACAGCACGACTTATAAACATGTAAGCACAAGCAGAAATATTAACGAAGCACCTAATACAATTCCAGATGTTGAGCTACGCTAGGACTGTGCCGAAGCCAAAACAGAAACCAAAGCCAAGAGCAGGTGTATCACCTAATGCATCACGCGAGGTAAGTGTCGTTGCTTTTTACATAGATAAGATGCGATGGAAGGCCGGGTCGACTGCTCCCCCAGTCGACATCTTTATGGATATTAAGGGAAAGATGAACCAGCTGCCCTACACTGAGTCTCATACCATTTGGACAAATTTACTATATCCTGTAACATCACCCCACTTACCAGATCAGAAGGACAACATCGAGTATTTTTCAACTTTAACCCTCGCCCGTATAGAGGGGGGGGGGTCGAACGGACCCCCTCCCCCTCGGTTTTTCGCGAATAACTCGCGTAAAGAGCGGCCGATCGCAACGAAACTTTCAGTACCCTCGAGTTGATCAATTTTACACCTACCCTGAAAACTTCATGACCCTGACCCAAATGACCTTTGACCTGTGACCTACTTTTCAAGACCATGTTTGGCCGGAATCGCCATTCGGCGTATGTTGGCTCGCATTAGCCGCGTGTTTGCAGTCTTATCGTGGTTTCAAGCTTTCAAACATGTGAAATGATGTCGGTCCATGCATTAGGGTGGGTGTCAAGGTCACCTGAAGGTCAGGTCAGGTCATTGACAGCTGATGACCTCTGTTCACTTTTTATCTCATCACGGGCAACACGCTCGTTTTTTTCCGCGAAGCTCTAGACCGATCAGGGGCGAAACGGCAAGGGGGGAGTTTCAACGGACTCCCCCCTTACCTATACATTCGCAGCTGGAAAAAAAAACACCAATACGGGTGAGGGTTAATTCTTGACCAATTCTCTCAGCGCATATCAGAACTTGAGCGAGAGAAGAATTGATAAAAGTTAATGGATCTAGGAACCATTCTTTTCCAATATTTTTGGTGCCCCACCTGGGCTTTATGTCGTTAGCAGTATACACTCATACTGGGTAAGTATACCATATACACGGCAGTGGTACGAAGCATTTTTGTACCCCCCAAGCGGGACAGCCTTGACCGCACGCTTCCTGTCACGCACCCCAGGTGGCAACACACTGGTGCGCACGCTGGGCTATCCCGATTTATCGGGCCCGGCAGGTCAGAGGGCTGCTCCGGGACATGAAGCGAGGCCGTGCACTAGGGACATGTCACCGAACCGAAGGTTCTGTTTAACCCTCGCCCGCATATGGGGGGGGGGTTGCCACCCCCCCCAGGCAGTCTTTCTGCTCTGCACTCAACATTTTTAGAGCTAGAAGGCTGATTTTTCGCATAGCTGCTCCTCTATCCTTTCTTGATGTCCACTGAAAATTTCAAGTTTCTGTGATTTTTGGTTTCGGAGATATGACCTTGTTTTTCAGGTCATGTCATAACCCAAACGGCCAATTTTCAACATCTTGCGTTTGCCATGGGCCTTGTGAGCTTTTGACACCTTGATTTCGGCCTTTTTTGCCAGTCTTACCTCCCACCTATCATGGAACATGTTGTTCGACGATGTGCAGGTGTCAAGGTCAGGGTCAAAATCAACCTAGGTCATCTAAGATAATTGCGTCTTAAGCAAGCTGAATTTACTTTTTGTGAAGCTGTTTTACTGCATTTTTGGTAAAAGCTTCTCAGATCATGATTTCATGTAATATGGACACAAAAACAATCGGTGCACACATCAGTATACACACACACACACAGGCATACAAACACATATAATTGACCTTGACCTAACTTGAACTGAAATGACCTCAGCAGCAAAAATCTGGTCGGGTAGTGTGACAAAGAGGTTCTAGCTGGCTTGGCACCATAAAACAGCATCGTCATCGGTATATGCTAAGCAGCGCACTTGATATCCAACGGTGACCCAAAACAGCAACATTTTTTAGTTTGACCTGACCTGGAAGGTCAATGCCTGACCTGAGAAGGTAAAACTGGGTATCATTGGATTCGTCTCTTCCCAAAGAATCTTTTTGTTCTTTACCGCTAAGCTCTATCTCCATCAGGAAAGAAATGGCGCGGGGGTGGCAACCCCCCCCCCCCCCCCCCAATGTGCGTTCTAGGATGGGAAAATGGCATGTGCGGGCGAGGGTTAAAGGCGGATCAGGCCCGTGTATTTGCGGCCGCGGGCGCTGGTTGGCAGAGCGGTGATCTCCACGACCGAGCGAACAGACCATTCTTAACATACCATGAGTGGTCACTTGATGAGGTCTTGGGCAAATGCAAGAATATTTAGTGTAACCACAGAGCAGCTATCCTCTCGGAGTTGACGCGCTGAAAAAGATTTTACTCCTTCCCTGAATGAAAATTTTCATCCATGAGGCGCAGCATATAAGTGCTACGTATAAATATCCAGCATGCTATGCTATAAATTACAAATGTGTCTATCATCCCCGCCTTTCACAGGTGTCCCTCATGACGAAGATAAGGAAACTACTGGCGGAGAGTAACATAGCCAGCAGTCCAATTCCTTGCGAGACGCGAGGGACAAAATCAAACGACGTGTCACCAGTCAGGTCATCCGTGTCTTCACCTCCACATCCAGCACCAGCAAACTCCAACGCTGAGGCAGTTACTTCAGCCAAGCCGCCGCCAGGAGGCAGGCCGGTGGCAGGGCGTCAGCCGGTAGTGAATGTACCCGAACCAAGGCCACCGCCGATGTCGCTACCCACATTCGAGGCTCCAAAGACCTCTGCACTACCGCCAAAGGACAATAGGCGCCGGCCGCGCCGTCCAGTGGGTCGCAATGCGTCTGTTGGACAGGCACGAGTGGCCAACTCGCTGTCTAGACTGCGGACACTCACCGACCAGCTCGTGACGGGAACGGCAGCAGTGCCAGCTGTGGACGAGGCGCCTCGGCTGCTACGGCGAGACGACTCGTGCCCCACGTTGGGCGCCAGTTCCGACATGGACAGCGAGTACTCGACAGACTCTCTGATCGCCCCCAGCCGTCCTACAGTAGTGTCGATGGGCAGGAATTATGGTTCCACGTCCCCGCGCGGCCGGGGCCTGTTCCCACCGACCCGAGGAGCGCCCGGCTGCCGGCGGCCCATGAGTCGCTGCTCCAGGGGAGTCGGCCCGGAACGGCCCGGCGCCGCCACACAGCCCGTCGCTGAGGACTTCTTCTTCGACACGTGTGGGGGTCACGGCGAGTGCGCGTGCGGCGACCAGTCGTGCTCTCCGCCGCTGTCACCGCACCGCAGACCGGTGGTGACGCGCGGGACCCAGTCTGTCGCGGAGACCCCGCTCAACGAGACGTTCGTGGTGCACAAAAACCCGCTGGTGGTGGACATTGGGATGCCGGTGGGCGCCGGCCGGACACGGCGCTCCTCTCCACGGCGCCGGCTGGGTGGCCTCTCGCCCGACTCATTGGCCGGCTCTCCGCCCCAGGACTGGAGGATGGGCCGGCCTGATGAGGTACCCTCTCACGCGTCCGTATTGCAGATGATGCGAGAAAGGCATCTCAGGGATAAAAGGCGAGTAGATGCGATCATTTCCGGCTCAATCACTCGCATGTAAATCTGAGTGTTATGTCCTAGTACCCCACGTATCCATGTCAATGACCACTTACGATGCAATGGTATAATGCGGAAACTTACAAGCTTCAGCGCCATCGCAATGTGATGTTCAGTTAGTGAAATGGTGATCAGTTAAATATACGTTGAGGCAGAGCCCATGCAATGGTCTTTGGTCTACCAATCGTACCTGGCGTTTCAAAATGCACATATAAAGAGGTAGTACTATAATAGCATCCAATGAAAACTATGTTCATAGTATAGAAACAAAATAAACGAATTTACCACTTCACTTCCCTTGTATAAGCTTTTCTGAGTAAGAATTATGTGGTCAGTTTACCTTCACAGTATGATCACAAATATTGACACATTCGCACATATATTATGCCTAGCCAACACTTGTAAAGGCACAGTATCACATTTCCTAGATATGAGTAGCCGAATGAACAATCATCGAACTACTCAAGATCTCTCATGACATTCAATAACACTCGCAAGTAATCGATCACAGCATGTTATCGGATACTCCTACACGATTTCAACTGCACATACCACAGCAGCATAGTGCTAGCCTACGCTGAGCTGAAAGTGCGCTGGACAGGGCCGCTGACTTATCGCTGAAATGGAACGGTGGCGGTGCAGTTGGCAAGCGATCGTGCCTGTAGCCCTAGGCCTGTAGCCCTAGCCTACTTCGTTTGATAAATAACAACATCTGTTCGAAGTACTCGGCCCGCTTGCAGATCACTGACACATATTCAGATATCTTTGAGCGACAGTTATTACACGTGAAACTCCACCGTGAACTTGCAACTCGTTTTCGTACATGACACATTTTAGTGCAAACAGAGCATTCTCTGTCGAAATTCAAAAATAAAACTTAAAAGCCTTATCTCGCGCAGCCTCAACAAATAACGAATCATGCTTTTGTATCATTTGAACGAAAGACATGACATTTCTTTCAGTGTTTAAGACCTCCATGCCATCAATTTTAGGCATGAAAGCTTAAGATACAAATGGGCAACAATTATTACGAGCGAGCGAGCGCAGCGAGCGAAGCGAAGTCTTTTCAATATAACGGAAAAATCTCAGTATGAGCGGCCCGGCCCGGCCCGGCCCAGCCCGGCCCGGCCCGGCCCGGCCTGTAACGCTTTTGAGAGGCTTACATCTCAGCAACCGCTGGACCGAATGGCCTGCGGTCTTTTTTGCTGGGTAGCCCCATCCCTTCTACCCCGTAATTGACTACTTTTGATACATCTCAGTGACCGCCGTGGCACGTGCCACGTGAAAAGTCAAGGGTGTTCAAGCAGTTTTACAAAAGTAATTATTTTGAGAGGCCCATATCTCAGCAGCGGCTTGAGCGATTGTCTTGCGGTCATTTTTATAGGGTAGCTGCATCCCTTCTACCAAAGGTCGGATACTCTTCATCTATGTGAGTGACCCCCACTGCACGTGCAAAATACAACAATAAGAGGTGCCAAATTTGTTCCCATTTCAGTAACTCGGTAATTACTGGGGCGATTTCGCTGAAACTTGGCATACAGATAGGCACCCACCAGGCAATGCATTCCCATGTGTTGCGGTTAGGGTGCTACTGCACGTGCGCACGTGCAGGGGGCGTTTCCAGATCTCGAGAACGGCTGGGCCGATTGCGCTCAAATTTGGTACACGGTTGGGGACCGGTTAGTAGGGTGCCGTGCAAAAGTCATTTTGGACCCCGTTTGCACGTGCGCACGTGCAGAATGCCGCTTCCAGATCTCAGGAACGGCTGGGCCGATTGCGTTCAAATTTGGTACACCGCTAGCGACCGGTTAGAAGGGTGCTTTGCACAAGCCCGTTGGAAGTACCCTCTCGCCCTTCTGCATGTGCAGGGCTCACTATCTCGCTCGCTCGTTCTTCGCCTAAAAGGCGTTTTACTGGTATCATATATCACAATGAACACTCGTGATTACTCGTTTTTCGGTATGGCATATTTCAAGCGTAATGAGTAGTGCGCATATGGTGCGTGGCATTATAAGAAGTGCCGCTGATTTCGTTACTGCATTAACAACCATACCTCATCTGAATGCATCCATTATAGCCTCATGTCCACAATAATTTTCAATAACGACGAAGAGTGAAATGCCTAGGTACCTCGAATTCGCGAAAGATTCTTTGATTTCGCTTCCACATCACACATGAAAATTGCACTGGAGATCGTATTTCAAATACCGTGTTATTCGAAACAATTCAGATGTCTGTATTCACTGCCGGTTACCGCGCCTATTTTAGTAACCCGTGGAAGTTGGAACTGTAGGCGAGTTGGACCAAATCACCAGCGTTATCTTGCATTGATCGATACCTGAGCCAGCCAGTCGGAAAGACCTGAAATGATGCATCGATATAACTATCTAGATCCAGTTAACCAAAACATGTAGCTATTTAGGTTCTACAATTTGCAGCTACCTCTCTTCCACAAAAAATAGGTGATTTTGGTTTACAAATTATATAAGTAATCAAATTATGCAAGAAATAATCATTTATGTCTTTAAGCCTATCGCAACGAAACTCAACAAAAATGTACTTAGTACATCTTTGCCAAGTAGACGAGCAAAAGAAATGTGTGTGGCAGCCGGATTTCCATCCAAATCTCCATCCAGATTATTCATGAATTTAAGGTAATTTTCACAGCGTCAGCTCCCTTTAATTGACCACGGTACCAAACGGTTCTCAGATTCCCTACGTGGAACTGGATTACAATGTCAGATTTTGCGATGTCAAAATCGTTAAATTCATTAAAAATACACACAAAAGCCCAAAAATAATTCCACACAACAGTTTCATATCGAAATTCACGTAACAAGTAGCAGATGACCGTAAGTTTCGAGACGAAATTTTGTACCATCAGAATCGAGACGGAATGATGGAATGCAATAATACCATCGCGGAGCAAATTTCCAGCTGAGGTCCCCACCTCAACAATGACAACATTGGGCACGGAGCACAGAGATTACAACCAGGGGCCGTATTCACGTCGACTTCGTAAGTTGATTTCCTTTCGTAGGTATAATTTGGTATTCACGTCAACACTTCTGAAGTTTTTATCGACAGAGTTCACGTGTCTAAAAAAATCTGGAGATGTAGGTCATGTGTAAGAAAATTCTTACAAAAATGATCGACGTGAATTCGGCCCCAGCAGTGCCAGGACAACGTGAACAGTCCCTAACACGGCTTCTAACGTCCCAACCCGTCCGGTACTATTGTCTGGCAAACCTAAGAAAGAACGGAGTTAAAGCGCCTGAATCACTTTGCACGTGTTTTGAGCACTTGAAATGCATGGCTTGGGGAAATTTGTAAGAAAAGTTGTGAGAGAAAATATGCTCTCACAATATAAATGCACATGCATCAATGACCTAAGCACTTTAAATCCATTCTTTCTTAGGTTTGCCAGACTATAGTGTCCCGCACCCTCCCTGCTCTGTCCGGCCCGGTCCTACCCCATCGGCGCCTCACCTGGTGGAGCGGTGACGGTGCAGCGGCGGCTCTCCGCGTCAGTACGACACACCCGTCGGCTCAGTAGCGCAGCTGCCAGTTGGTGGGCTGGTTGTAGCCGAGCAGTAGCGGACAGTGCAACAGCAGGGAGACGGCCGCCGGCTCTATGGACGACGACACGGTGGCCCACTCGCTCAGCCACCAGGCCAGCTGTTCGTGCGGCAGGTTCTGCGGGTTCAGGCCGCGCAGAAAACACGCCTGCACGGCACATAGGGACACCAGGTCAGCCAGGGGCAGGCGCCACTGGGGCCAGGTACCCATCCCCTGTGACCCAAGCCGACCGGGCACTGCAGACAGGGCGTCCGGTCGGCCGGGCGCACACGCAGAAAGCTGTGTTAGAAACGGAGGCTGTTCAGTCAGATAGATGAACGCTGCTGCCCAAAATAACTACGTGAATGTGCGTGTGGACGTATCACAGTCATCCAACAGAATAATGCGGGACTTCCGGATCAAATTCATACTCACATAGTAGAGCTCCTCCTGTGACATGGCAGTCACTCCCTCGGCCAGCATGGCCCGGTCCATGTGTCGCAGCAGTTCGCCGTGCTCCCGCAGTCGCCGCCGCCGCAGAGCGGTGAGCACGCCCAGCCCGTGCAGCTTCAGCAGGCGGCGCTGAACAGGGGCGAGACGGCGCAGACTGTCAACTGACGGAAGACAGATCTAGGAAATACAGAACGGTGAGCAGACCAGACCGCGCAGCACAGGTGCGAGACGGGGCAGACTGTCAACTGACGGGAGACAGGCCGCAGCCCACAGATCTAACAAATACAGAACAGTGAGTAGCCCAGACCGTGTAGCACAGGGACGAGACGGCGCAGACTGTCAACTGACGGGCCGCAGATCTAACAAATACAGAACGGTGAGCAGCCCAGACCGCGCAGCACAGGGGCGAGACGGCGCAGACTGTCAACTGACGGGAGACGGGCCGCAGATCTAACAAATACAGAACGGTGAACAGCCCAGACCGTGCAGCACAGGGGCGAGACGGCGCAGACTGTCAACTGACGGGATCGACGGGCCAGAGATATAACAAAATATCGTTTCCATAGCAAGATAAGTTTAATAAATTGTAGAATATTAGGATATCAGAAGAGCTGAGATCCTAATCATATTATGCAGGGAGCACAAAATTACAACAACGATGCTGTCTGCTCAGCTACCTCTAGTAAGTGCTTCACCGGAGACCGTGGAGAGCATGATTGTTATTTACATATGTCAGCTATTGCCGGAGGGACATTATCCGTCACTTAATAGAGAGGCAGTCTCAGCCGCAGCCCGGAGAGACAATAGGCGAGGTGTTTGCCGCACCCGCTGCTCACAGTGACCGTGGGGGCAGTCTCAGTCACAGTTGGGACTAAGAGAGACGACTTAATCGACTCACCACCTGCACGGCACTGAGTCGCTCCAGGCTGAACGGGCCACCCTCGAAGATAGGTCGCAGCGCGAGGATATCGGCCGAGCTCGGCACCTGGCCCGAACCGAGCAGTGTGAACACGTGCTTCAGGGAGAGCTGCGCCGACTCGGGAGTCACCAGGTGACGTCTGCCGGACGGGACAGTAAAGGTCAGAGGGGTCGGTAGGGGTCGGTAAAAGGTCCGGTACTAGGCCCAGTAAACGCCGAGAACCTGAGAGCCACGGTACCTAACTGATCAGGTGCCAATACAGCCGATGGCCATAATAGGCCAACTGAAGTCACCAGGGACTGGCCACCCATACAAACCTATTCAAAAAGGTGGCAAGCGGCACTAAACTAACTGGCACAGTTAAACCAGCTGCAAACTTCGCATTCCTTTCGCCAAACGTAACCAGTGGCAATGTCATTTCTACAGTAGATACGATGAATCAAATGTGCGTTGACACTGTGGACTGGCATTCCCCTGTGTCACCGCCGCTCTGTGGCACCGAGCCCGCGTTAGGCGATGGATGCCGCCCGCGTCCGGCAGCATCCATCGCCGGAGTGCGCCCAGTGCAGCGATAAGGGATGCCGGGCAGGACGGTGCCGCGCCTGCGGCGAAGAGGCCGACACCCCAGACCATGTCCTACTGCGGTGCCCGGCGCTGATGAACGCCCGGCTCCGCATCTTCGGACTTCGGCACCATCTTCCCGAGCCTGAGCGACGTGCGACGGGACGACGCGGTGGCGGCCCTGGCGAGGGTCGCCAGGTACAGTCCACAGCAGAAGTAATGTGTGGTTTCAGTCATGGGTATGTTCTGCTTCTGAAGCCTAGGAACGATTAGCCAGACTGCAACGAGACTTTAAATATAGCTTACATGTATCTTCACCCTTGCAGCTACAACTTTATCTATTGACGTCTTCTTTTCAACCAGTCCGAATTTAAAAAGCGTCGGTCAAAGCCATCCGTTGAGATTGGTAAAACCACACATTACTTTAGCGGTGGGCTGTACCTGCAGAGCCGCGGGCGGCTAGGCTACAGCTCGCCAGAGCCTGGAAGGAAATCAAAACACAACAACAACAGCCCGCGTTACCTGGCCTGAAGGTGGCGAAAGGCGGACAGGTGGTGGGCCAGTCTCCGTTTGTGTTCGTACAGGGCAAAGTCGGACCGCTGCTGCAGGGACCAGAAGTGGCGACATAGCAGTTGACGCGGGAACAAGTACCTGAGGGCAGCGGCAGACGCGCACATTAGGCGTCAACACCGAGTTGTTATCGTGGTACGTACCTGATACAACATCTATTTCTCCCGGCGGCACTCCATCCGCTCCTTTCTTCATCCACCCCTCCATTCCTACCATCTGCGCCTTCCGACATCGGCACTTTTACCTATTTTATTCCGATAACGGTACAAACACGTATATTCCTTCACTAACAACCAGTTCCGATTCTTATTATACCAACCACCCATTCCTCCCTGTACAAATCCGTTCGTTCTTGCACTCACCGATACCCTTCCCTCCCTCGGCCTCCACTCACGCTAACGGAAAGACGACGTTCTGCGCCAGCGGCAGGGCCGCCACGATCAGGACAGGCGCAACGGCGCGCATGTCACGCGGCATCTGAAAGTAGAGCTCCAGCTCGCGCCGACTCAGGCTGCGCAGACCCAGGCCGTGAACCTGAGCGGCATGGTGAGGGACTGTCACACACCTGAGCAGAGGAAGGCTGTACCACACGCAAGCAGAGGGACTGTAGCGCACATAGGCCGAGCGATGCTCCAAATGCCCAAGACAAACAGTATCGGTCAACACCTTGACGAAACTAGGGGGAAAGGGGGCAATTAATACCCAGAGCACACATTCTTTGCCCAAAACCACTGAGTGTACGCTGTACACACATAAAAACACACATAAGAAACAGGCGCGTAACCACGAGTCTGAAGTTACTGGGGACCACATGGAGGGCCGCTAAGACCAAATATTATATTTCAGGATCAGCCTTCGCCCGAGAGGGGGGGGGGGAGGATGGGGGAGGGCGTTTTTGGCCACACTTGCCAGTTTTTGTAACGCGTGTAAGGAAAACCGTGGCGCGCACCGCCGCGAAACTTGTTCAGCTTATGATACCTCAATTTCGCATCGTATGTAAAAAAATTTTGACCCCAGGTCACTGACTGAGTTCAGGTCACCAGGTCAAGTAAAGTAACCATGTCTCTAAACAAACCTTCTGACTCTGTCATTCCTACAGTTTACATCCCAGACGTTTGAAACTCGAGCATTTGCATGAGGAAATCAGAAGGTATGAACAATTCGTACAGGTATACCTATCTCAAAATACCTATCTACATGTATACCTAACGGGAGTCAAGTTCAAAATGGGACAAACGCAAAATTAAGGTAGACACTGTGTATTATAAGATATTTTAACGAAACTTTCACCACATACACCTTGTTCTGTCGCCAGTCCACTGGTACTAGTGAATCTGAACCAGGGGTCCATGCCTGTCTGCCAGACGCACGTGCTCTCCCGCTATCTTCATCATCGATCGCGGCATCTCCGGGACAATTTTCTTGATGCTGCTCAGGATTCTGGCACGCAGCTGCTGATCAGATGACGCTGTCCAGCCACCGCGGTAGACTTCTTGTTTAATTATGCCCAAGAAGTCCTCAATTGGTCCCAGCTGCGGGACATTCGGCGGGTTTTCCTCGCGGATTAAATATCAGGTATGCCAGCTTCCTCCAGAAACTGGCACGTGGCACGTGCATAATGAGCTGAAGCCAAGTCTAGCCAAAATGCCTATCCACCCTTTCGGTAGCCGGCCTCGATGAACGGTTTGAGGTTGCTGTTCAGGGTAACCGGACAAAAAGTCAAAAGGAATAAAGTCAAAAGACAAATAGTCAAAAGACAAAAAGTCAAATGCAAAAAGTCAAACGGGATAAAAGTCAAAAAGATAAAAGTCAAAACGGATAAAAGTCAAAAGACAAAAAGTCAAAAGCAAAAAGTCAAAACGTGTAAAAGTCAA